TTCAAAACTCTATTAAAGTCATGTTTTCAAGTATCATGTTTTCAATACTGAATTGGCTCAATATCATGTTTTCAACACTAAATAATATCATGTTTTCAAAACTATAGTTAAGAACCCAGCAGTTAAGAACTCAATAACTCAATATATATATATCATTCAAACAACTCAATATCATCCAGAATTTCTTTTGAACCCAAAATTTATTTTCCATACAATTCAATAACTCAATATATATCATTCAAATCTGCACACACCCAATACAAAATCCAAACCGTATAACTCACCCGTATAACCCAAAATCCAAACCCAAAAATAGAAAAACAGAGCAAGGAAAATGTGAGCCAGACGGTAGACAGAGAGGGAAATGGAAGGTAGATACTGAGGAAAGAGTCAGTGCAGAGTAGGAATGGGAAGACAGATGGTAGACAAAGGGTATGGGGGAGACAGAGGGTATGGGGGAGACACAGAAATGTGTTGGGCAGGAAATGTGAGCCATCCAAAGCAAATCCAAACTATTGATATACACTTTGGATTCATCTGAGCCATCCAAATGAAATGTGTGCCTCATACATTTTAGACATTTTCAAAAATCTTTGTGACTTATTATATAAATTGTAATATTTGCTAGTCTGTCCTTTCTCTCTCTCTCATTTTATTTTATTTTATTTTATTTTATTTTTTTGGAACTGGGTCTGTCCTTGGTATTGGGTTGTTGGTAAGTTAATCATATGAGTCCTGGAGAGTTCAGAAGGCATTGTTTGATTGGCTCAATAAAAATTAAAAACTAAAAAGAAAAAAAGGCTTATTGGTTAATCTACAATGTTATTTGCATAAAGTTTTAATTAATTTGATGAGGATGCTCTAAAAATCTCTTCATGATCAGTTAACCTACAATCTAGATCTTATCAATTTCTATTATTATAGGGCATGATTTTCAATTAATTACATTTAGAATCTACATTTTATAAACAACTCTATTTTTAATTTTCTTCAATTATGATAATTCCATTATTATCACATAACTATTTTTTTGCCAATTTCTTAAACGAAAGTTGATGATATTTTGACTTGACTAAACGTGGATTAAATTGTTACAAATGAAAGCAAACATATCAAAATGAAATTTTGTGCGTAATTTACATGTAATTTATTATTTGAATAATTTGTAAATAAAAATTTTGTAACAAATATATATTTAGAATGTTATATCAATAATATTTTCAAAATTATAAAAAAAACTATTAGTGGTTAAGGATTCGTTTAGAATGTGAGTTGACTTTTTGATTATTTTAACTTGTAGTTAAAAAGTCTCGTTTGGGATAGATTTTTTAATTTTTTTTATTTTTATGAGAAAAAAAATAAAATGATTAGGATGTGATGTTTTAACTTATTAGGTTAAAAAAATTATTTTATCTTTTTTAATTAAAATTTTAACTAAAATAAGTAAAAAGTCAAAAAATTTGACATGAATAATGATATGACAATAAAGTAACGTCATTTTATATGAAAAATATTTTTATATTATCTTTTATATAATATTTTGCACTGCCGATTAACACGCTCGCACGTGAGTCCCGTGACCAACATTTAAAAGGAAAGCATTTCGGTAGAGCAGCAATAATCCTCTGCAGCGCACGGCACATTCACTCGCATTTCTCAACTGATAAAGATGCGGATCCGTTGCATTCAGGCTCTATTTGGGAACTCAAATTGAGGTTAACCAAAAAAAATATTAAAATAAGGGCTGGCTTCTCACTAGTTTGACAGATTGGAGGATGTTATTGGATTTGTGGAAGCCTATTACGGGATCTGTTTTGATAATCTGAACCGTCAATGTGTAGAACTTGTCGAATACTATATATGTTTTAAAAATCATATTGATTTGATATCGATAGCTACATGATCAAATCAATTTTGTATAAAAAAAATGGACAGTGAAAAATAAACGGTTGACGAAAATCTGATCTGATGAGATATCTATCAATATCCGATCAATGTGATTTTTTGTGAGCATATAGTATTCAATGAGTTCTGCATATTGAACGGTTCAGATTATCAAAACGAGACATATGGTGAGCCTCTATGGACCCAACAGAGTACCTTCTAGTCTGATCACGGACTGGAGAGAAGCTCTACTCTTAAAATAATTATTAAGATAAAATAATAATTTCAAACACAATTTCTTTTTCATCTCATTTTATAATCAAAAAGTAAAAATACAACTAAAATAATTAAGTTTGCAAACGAGACCTACATTAGGAGCTTGTGGATTGTGTTGGACAGAGTGACCTCTCATTTGCTATTTGTTGAAACTTAGATGGATTAAAAAAAAAAAATCAATATGCATCATATCATTTAATTAGTGGACGTGGGTTGAGTGAGTCGCCTAAGTTGACAAATGGATACAAATTGATTTAACAATTTGGATTTTACTATTTGAAAAAAAAATTTGAATTATTTTTCAGTAATTCTTTATTATTTGGGGTTTAAAATTTTTTATTTTTGATAATAAAACTAAAGATTTAACTTTCATATTTCATAAATATCAAACATAATTACTAAATAAAAAATTATTTTTCTAACACACAAAACCTAAAGGGTAAATTACGCTGACAACCCCTTAAGGTTTCTGTTTAATGTAGATCCCCACTCACGTTTAAAAAATCACATTTTTCTCCCTGAAATTTGTAATCTCATTAAAAATTATCTCCTAGATTGCTAATGTCATGCTTTAAAATTTTTAAATGACCATTTTGTCTTTTTTTCTACCATTTCTTTGTCCTATCATCATAATTGCATTCTATAACTTTTCATTATTAAATTATAGCTGAACATACTCTTATTGAGTAACAATGGTGCTACATGCACTAATTAGTATACACACTAGTGTACCAACTATTATTGACCACATTTATTATACAAGTTACAAATACCCAAAACCATACAAATGATATCACATCATCTGTTAGTATATTAGTGTGTACATTAATTAGTACATATAGCATTATTTATTAAGTAATGATATACAAATATAAATTTTATATAAAATTTTTAAACACAATGATATAGTTTAATGGTGGCCTTCCACTTTAAAACAAAACACTTATGAACATGATTTATATTTAAAACATCACTATCTCAATATTTTTATGATATTTTTTGTATAAATTTTTATACATGAATTGAATTTTTCTTTTTTATTTCCACCATCATTTTTCTTTCTCATCTATTCACCCACATTTATTACATTATTATCAAGCATTGTCATTCACATTTATTACAATATTATTGATTTTTTTTATTTTATATTTTTTCATATTTGGTGAATTTAAAAAAAATTACAAAATATTATACTTCTTAAGTATATCTAGATTAGGTATATCTAAAAAAAATGCTTAAAATATTAAAAAAATCAGTAAAAAAATACGAAAAATAAAAAAAAAATTAATTTTGTGTGTAAATTAAACCAAAGAAGATGATTGTTATTTCTCTTGAAATGATATGAACAAAATATTAATATTATTTTTTTATTTTATATTTTTTCATATTTGGTGAATTTAAAAAAAATTACAAAATATTATACTTCTTAAGTATATCTAGATTAGGTATATCTAAAAAAAATGCTTAAAATATTAAAAAAATCAGTAAAAAAATACGAAAAATAAAAAAAAAAATTAATTTTGTGTGTAAATTAAACCAAAGAAGATGATTGTTATTTCTCTTGAAATGATATGAACAAAATATTAACATTATTTTATTATTTTATATGTATAAAGGCTGAGGGACAAATATGTTATTGTAATCTGACAGGAGATAAATGTAATTTTTCAAATGTGAGTGAGATCTGTATTTAATAGAAACCTCAGAGAGTGTCAGTGTAATTTACCCAAACATAAAACATAATCATCCTATTTGGTTTTCAGTTTTCAAAAATATTTTTTTTAAATTTTTAATTCGCATTTTTATATTTTTAATAATATTTTAATCAAATTTATTTAAATTTTAAATTCATTTAATTTTAACGTGCTTAAAAGGCAAAAAAAAAAAGATTCAATTTTTAAAAAAATGAATTCAATTTTTTGAAATCAAATATGTTCAATTTTTTTAAGAGTTTTGGCCGATTAGATTGGATCGAAATACATCATCCCTTCAAAGGAGTGTTTTGAGAAGTTGACAAAAAATTAATTTTTTAATTTTTTTAATTTATTTTATCTTTTTGTGAGTAAGTTATATGAAAAATAATGTGACCTAAAATGAGTAAAAAACTGGAAGCTGGCTTTTTACTAAATTTCCAAAAGACTCCAAAGTCTTCGTTTGGCATTTTAAGTTTGGGTTAAAATAGTTCTAAGTATATATATATATATGTTAAAAAATTAATAAGATTAAATCATAATTATTTTATTTTTTCTCTTACAAAAATCAAGAAAGTCAAAAAATTCATTCCAAACGAGATTTTTTAACTCAAGTTAAAAATAGCTAAAAATCTAAAAAATTAAAAAACCCACTCACATCCTAAACCAACCCAAATTTATACAGATTAAAAATAGAAAAATACTATAAACCCTAAATTTTCTACCAAAATAAATAATCAAATCTCACATGGATGTTTAGTCCAAAAAAAAATAAATTCCACACTTATTTGAAAAGTTTAATAATTTATTTAATAAAAAATTTTGTATCTCTCACATTCCTCTTAAAAATATTTACATCTACTCATTCCGATCATTAAAATCATCTGTTTTGTGAAAAATTAGTTCGACCCATTCATTCGAGTGTAGCAGAACGCCACCAATCTTATCGTACGGCCAGAGTTAGATCTAGATAAACTCATCTCGCGATAGAAACAACCCTAGGCGAAAGCAGATCTAGGACAGGCATCGGTGCCACGTGTATCAAAGTGGGCCCCATTCACATACCCACCCACTCCCAACAAAGAAAGAACCGACGAACTAAAATCCACTCCTTCGCCACACACAAAACCGTAACACAAATCCATATATATATAGGTACATCTCTCTCTCTCTCTCTCTACATATAGATTTTCTCTCTCTCCGCCACCCTCTCACATCTCCCATTTCCTTCTCTCTCTACCTCACCTCTCTCTCTCTCTCTCTAGCTGTGCTGTGTCTAAGGCGACGCGAGATGACAACAGACGACTGGTTGACGGCGGCGTTAACCGACGACGCGATGGTGGTGGAGCTGTTGTTTCGGTTGAGACACTCATCGGAATCGTTCGCATCGCCGCCGCCGCCGCTGCGGTGGGGACACCGCCAGCGGCGGTCGAAACCGGCCGCAGCGAGGAAGGACCGCGACTCGATGCGGTGCAGCCCGACGACGCCGCTCTCCTGGAGCTGCGGCACCGGCGACGGAAGCAGCGACGGTTGCGACGAGTCCAGCAGACCATCAGATCGGTCCTCCGGCGGCAGATCTAAGGTTTGTATCTATATCTCCGACCTCCTCCGTCTACGGCGGTGCTGTCAGATTACTTGCGATTCGATCTCACGCTTCCATGTGTTGATTCACTGAGCTAATACTTGGAAACTTTTCGCTTTCGCTTTTGCGCCTATTCGAGCTTTTCGTGTCTGCAAATAGCTGTAATTTTGTGTTGTTGACAATTTTGCCCTAAGTTCTTCTTCGTCTCCATTTTTTCCGGCGACTGTCAGCTTTCCGGCTACCTGATTTATCTTCGGGTTGACCGAACTACCCCTACCGTAAGAGTAAAATTACGAAGGAGTCCTTGTACTTGATTGAAGAGTCGCTATCTATTTGATCTCATCTTTTGACGATTATACCCTCACTAATCAATCTAATTTGCTGTATGGCCCGTAAAGCGGTGGTGGCTCAGCTTCACGATCCCCACGCACGCATCGTTTTCAGTTCTTCGTTTTGTCTTTCTATTTTTTTTTAATTTTTTTTTTTTTGACGAAAATGCCACCGTCAGCATGTGGATAGACAAGGTCAACTTTGTAATTATGCATATTTGGACGGTCGTTCTTCGATCGGCCGCTCTGCTAATACATATACGGAGAGTGTGTGTACGTATATACTGATGGGAAAATATTAATGATAATTATTAATTTTTTGTATAAAATTATTTGAGTAAAGTTGATTGAAAAGGATATTTAAATTTTAAACTATTTTGATATTATTCTCAATTTTAACATTATTATCACTTAAATGGGGGCGTCAAGGGGTGTTTTCAGCAACTCGAAAATAGATATATGTAGATCGAAAAATTTACATGTGTGTTTTTGAGGAAAACACTCGTTCAATCCCATCTAAGTGCCTTTTGTGCTGACACTCTTGCCAACATGGGTGTAATTAACCAAGACTTTTTGTTGTTTTTGAAGACTCTCCTAATCAATTTGTAAGTCATGGTTAATCCTTCTTGTGAGAGTCACTAGCTGCCCTCTTGTATTTGTTCGTTGCTGTTATTTTAGGTTAATCAAAAAAATAAAATAAAATAAAAATAAAAAGTGCCCTTTCCGCGAAGGTTAGATTTGTCATGATGAATAAGTACTAGTATTCATTTTTTTTTAAAATTTTTTTTTTTAAAACTTTAAATGTCGGTTGAGGAGTGAGTGACAAAACCATGAAGCTTCCCCAATGGCCCTATCATTTATGGCATTTTTTTTTTGAAATGCCGTTCAACGTGGTCAAAATTCCTAGCTTTGAGCAAGGGCATATTGGTCATTATGAGAACTTGGCGCTGTTTCGTAAACACTCCCTCGTGTCGGCCTTGTTTCATTTAGGGGTTGTTTGGGGTGTCCTAAATAAGTGTATTTTTTGACTTTTTATGAAATATGAATTGGGTTTGAAATGACGTGATAGAGAGGTGATGTGACATAAATAAGATGATTTTACTTAAATAGAATAGTGACTTTTTGACTTTTTAGATTTTTTTGAGGATGCCAAACTTGACCTTATACAACCTTTTCTGCGGGGTGTGTGTTTATATGACTTTTCAAAAAGTTATAGCTTTAAATTTTTTTCGTATAATTTATTATTATTGTCTATTTAGCGCTTGTAGTTTTATTGTGTCAAATTTGTCTTTTTAAATTTTCATACTACGTCAATTTTAGCAAATAGAGAATGAATAATTTTAAATTATATGTTAATTCCTTGGTTACTTTGAAGATCAATTAAAGTAAATTAACATAATATAAAAAAATAAAAATAAAATTGATACCAGAGACAAGTAAAACGATGTAGTTCAAAAAAAATTTTTTTTTTTGGAGTATTGATACATAGCTCTCTAGTTTGAGAGCGCTAAATGAAATTTCAGTGAGGTAAAAGAGAGATCTAATGAGGTGTAAGATAGAGGGATAGAGAGAGGAGTGAGTCTCACTTTTACATGATATTTTCACATCATTAAAATTACATTAGAGTTTTTAAATTAGAACTTTCAAATATTATTGTTTTTTTAATATGCAAATGATGGATGAATTGAATACCCACGTAATTGATTTTTGGATCCAATTTTCCGACGTGGTGGCTCACGTGTGTAGTGGGGTTCCTTCCTCCTCTACCTTCCACGTCACATGTCATGTGAACCCACCAATTTGAAAGCCCTCTCTCTCAATCACTCACTCACACAATAATGAATGGTTAGTTTTTGATAACCAGTCCGAACTACCTTATATACATCTCGATTAATTTTGAGGGATGAATTTTACTGTTTACTTGCAGAAAAGTATACCCAAACCCCAAAGAATTGTTACTTTGGTTTTATTTTTTATGTGAAAATATTTTTTTTTTCTCGTTTTCCCCTAAAAATGTGGTGATGGGAGAATAATAGAATGCTTTTAACATTGTGTTATGATGGACCCACAATGATATTTCTTCTTGCCTTTTTACTTTATTATTTTTTCTTCTTCTGTTTTATTGGTGGGTCTTTATTTTTTTTGCTTCTTCTGTTTTATTGGTGGGTCTAAAGGCTGGGCCTAATGTCCTTAAGCTGAGCTTGAACTTATCCACATATCTCTACGTAAAGGGCCCATCCCATCCCCTCTTATTAGCAAGCTTATAGTTGAATCTCAGGCATAAAACAAATTATGCTAGAGGATTTTGACTTCTCAATTTAATCTTCTTTGGTTTGGAGAGAGGGATTAGATACAGGACTTTGTTATTACTTATGCACACATGATTTTAACCAATGAACTAGTGACCTCTATTGAGAGATATATGTGTATAATATATATAGTAGGTTTTAACCTTTTGTTTAGAGTTATCTTATCAGACCACTTTATACATAGATGGATTGTATAAATAAATGCATCATCAGCTTATGTTAAGAACTTTTTCAATTGTTATTCACTTATTTCCATATTTCCATCCCTTTGTTGACACATGCTGAATTATGGGTTGTTTTCAGGGTTCTTTTACTGGTGACACCACTGCCACTACCACCGGTGCCACCAATAAGCGATCAAGAAAAAAAAAGGTAGCGTCCATGAAGTAACACTTGGACAAAAACAGAATTCATCCTTATACATCAAAATGCAACATGTGTAGTATTCTAAGGCCTTGTTTGGAGATTAAACATTTTAGTCAAAAAACCAAAATGTGATAAGTTGTCACATCATTCTATTTTTCTGTGTATTTTTTCATAAAGAATTAAAAAGTTATTAAAATAACATGTTTCCAACAAACGAGGCCTGAGTTTGTAATTCTAGTCTTGGTTTTGGTATGATTTTGACATTCTTTTCTTGATTGTATGGTAGACATTTGCTGAACTTAAAGAGGAAGAAAATTTGCTGCTGAAGCAAAGGATAAATTTGAACAAGGTAAGCAGCCAAAGCATCTAATTGAACTCAAATCTATATTTGTTTTAATGGAAATTAATCCTAATTTTTCAATTATTATGTGTGTATTTGTCTAACAGGAGTTGGCAACCTTACGTGTAACATTTAATGAACAAAAAGCCAGAAGCGATCATTTCAAGAGAATCAAGGTAACCCATTTACTATCTTCCTCTCTATTTCATGATCTGTCAATCCATCAATCACATGAAAAATGCAGCGTAGACAAATATAGAGTCTTGAACCAAAAAGGATGGCGGCTTGTAAGTTGGTATTCTTATAAACTACTATAATACCAACTTGGTATGGTTTTATCAAAATGCTTTTTTTGGTAAAACTAGATCTTTAATCTCAGGACTTCCCAAGAAATCTTCAAACTTCAATTATCTAATTGTGAATTAGTAATACCCGAATGCATGTGTATGCCTGAGATATGATAACATGAGAGAGAGAGAGAGAGGGTAATAAATTCTTGCTTCAAATCCAAGTTAATTCTAAAGCACCCATTACACGCATGAACTACTATTTTAAGAACCTCTTAAAGGTGAGAGATTGACATTTCTAAATTTTTAATGCTGAATTTGGACTATATAAGCTCATTACTACTTACATTTGGGACCAAATTTGGCAGTGGAGATGTATGTGTTTGCTTAATGATGCAATCTATCCTTTCTGTGTCTTTGCTCGTGTTCGAACTCACCTGTTTGGGATGTGTATGTATGGTGGTTAAAATAATGTAGACTTTTCGATGTCATGTCTGATTTATAATTTATTTATTTTCATAATGATTATGATGAAGGTGATGTAAATTGTTCGTTATTTTTCTTTTTTGCAGCTTGATCTACATTCACAATCAGCAAATAAGATGGCTGCTGCTGCTGCAGATGATCTGAAGGCCGCAAATTCCCATCAACAACCCAATTTGACTGAAGCTTCTACTCTCCACCATATTCCAGCCTCACCAACAATTACCATGCACGGTGATCGCCCAGCACCTGATTCCTGCAAAGTAGAAAAGGAAGTTGAGACCAGGGAAAGATGCTTCGTTCTACCTGATCTAAATACAACGCCATCTGAAGAGGATTCTGGTGACGAGAGTTTATATGGATTCAGCTGATGAAAAACAATGTTGCTGTTTCTCAAATCTAAAGCAAGTGGCTGTGGTTATTAAAGGGCGTGTTCGTTGAATAGAGTTGGTCCAGTGATCCTGAATTTGCATGTGGCAGAGGGGCTGCTTGTAAGTATAACACATCTTCTCGGGAAAAGCTGGGGATAAAATGACTCTACAATATACTCGAATTGCCAAATATTTAGAGGCATAAAGAAGCTGAGTCGTCCTGAAGAAGGTTTTTAGGGGTAGTTTAGAGATCCTAGTAGTTTAGACATGTCTGAAATTTTGATGTTTTTGGAGGCTTCTTCTATGTTTGGGGAGTAAATTCTCATTACTTCAAGTTGTGAAATATGTCAAAAAGACATAAATGTTTCTTTATTCTTTTGTTGGTTACACATTTGTCAAAGACTTTTGAAGAGCAGTAGAGGACCTTAGTATCTACTCTTCACCTAACAAGTTGGTTTGTTGCATACTTAATAGGGTAACAATTATTCCAAGTGCACCAACAAACAAATGTATCAACTATACACACAATGTAGAAGTGGGTGTCTTGTGTCTTAGTTAATATGTTTGTCAATAAAACTTGTTTGTTAACGTTTATATTTATAAATTTTTTTAAAATTTAAATAAAAATTCATTTGATTTATGTTTTCATTTTCAAAAAGGTATAACAAACACACAAAAATTAGTTTTATTACTTAATATATACATATATTTTTATTTCTTCTTTTTTCTCCCATTATTTGTGACCACCACCCATTGCTTATTCCCACTGGTTATCATCGCCAATAATCTCCTTTTCCAACCACCCAACCCAAGGCCACCACCTCCCTCCGTTGGTTACCACCTTTCTCCGTTGGTTACCACATTTTGTTGAAAATCACCTTAGGCGGCCGATTGACCACCAACTTCAACAATTGACAATCATTTTCAACCATTAATACATGTATCCAACAACCACATTGGGCCAATGCTAACCATCTTCCACTAGTAGCAGCCACCTTCAACAACCACCTCCCCCAAACAACCGCCACCTCCAACTACCATCTCCAACCTTTGACAATCACTTCTTCTTTTTTTTTTTTTTTTAAAAAAAAAAATACTCACATACTAAGAATATTTTTTTTTTATTCACTTTTATTCAAAATTAATTAATTCAAAATGGTATAATTTAAAAAGAAAAATGTTTTGAACCACTAATTTTAGACTCCCAAACCAACTTGTGTCACAAGTCACAACACTTATAATCCCACTAAAACATAAAAACTATCTAATGAGTACTTGTCATGTCATTGAGGGTTGGTATTAAGAGTTCAAAATTGGTGGGACGTAGCATTACTGATTTGAGAATGAGATTCTTACTCCATTTTTAGCCTCTTTCCTTGTGAGAAGCTCTAACAAAAATAAAAATAATATGTGTGAAAGCTAAGTGTAGTGTGGATATCAAATGCTCTTTACAAAATAAGGAAATTCATGCAACAGAATGGGACCATAATGCCAGTTAATTAGTTTAGACTCTAGAAATGAAATGACATTTGGATTAACCAAATTGTAAATTCATACAATCAACTATATGGGATTTTCCCCCATTGATGAAAATATCAAATATTGTAATCTGAACATGATTAGCCTAGGTAGCATTTTTCAGCTTTTCTTCAACGAGCTCAATACAATGGTACAAAACTAACTCAACGGGGTTTAAGACACATACAGTGTCCATCGCAAGTCGGTCGTAATCCTTCTTGTTTTCTGCCACAATACCCGTCACTACGGTTTGGAGAGGTAGAAGCCATTCGTTGTAGGCCTTCTGTAAGTTTTTCTTGGACAGCACTCCGGTGTAATTGGTATTTCCTGTGGCATTTGTCACCGTAGTCAGAAATACACGTGGCACTTAAACAGACCTCCTTTCACTTTTGAATATTAAAAGGTCTATCTATTAGAGGCAAAATTTAGTTTAGGTTACATATATTCAAATATCTAGGGGTTTGAACAGATGCTCCAATATCTTGGTCGATTCTGTTTGTATATTCTGTTCGTAATTCTTGGTCGATCCTGTTTGTGATTAGAAAGACAAAGTGCAGATTCAAGAAAACCGTAAATTTAAATGCCTATCCTAACTTTCAAACCTCAAACTCACTTAGAAAAACAAATTCAATATTACAGTAACATCAAACCAATTACAAAGAGAGAGAAATACCGCATCACCATACTGGGGGAGGGATGCAGGTCATCCCAAGGGTGGGCCTCAGAATCAACTCTACCAATTCAAGGGCACCAGCATTCCAAAATGCTGCACTGAAGCATGCATTATACTGTGCATGGATTACTTCATTTCCTATTGAAATCCTTTGGCAATTTTCCATGTGCATCTCCTTTCTCACACAATCAATGAGAATTGCAATCTGTATAAAGATGCAGCCAACACTTCAAAAGGATTAATTAAAAACCCCAACCCACATGCTCAAACACACCGTCAGGTGACCTTAATGACCTACCATGGACGATGAATCAGTATTTTTAATCAAAGCCATTAAAGTGTCAAATCTTAGAGAAGTTGGAATATCTGCAAGAACCTGGTTACGAGAGGAAAATAATGCAAATGTCAATAGCTAAGGACAAAAAACTATACAAAAGAACTTCAGAAAAATAAGGTATTAGAATGTGCTAAATTCAAAGGAATTAAATTACAAGTGATCAAGGATTGGGATTATATTCTTCATGAGTTAACAATTTAGGTATAAGATTCACATTTACTCACATTCTTTTAATGTTAGCATCAAAACTAACTAGCCCTGCATTAGGCTCTATGGCCACACATCCCAGAATCAAACTGAAATAATCAAAATATTTTGCCAAACCATATGAATGCTGTTTTGAAGAAACAAATTGTCTAGTGAATAGAAAGATGACTTCATTAACTCAATATGAGTCTATAAACCCAAACCCAAACACGGGCTAAATTCAGCTAGCCCAACGAGTTCATTAATTATCAAGGAAACCACAGGAACTATTATTACTGCTTTATAAACTGATCGAGAAAATTGAAAATACTAAATCCTCATTTGGTTTTGAAATTACTAAATCTGTAATTTGTTTTCCATTTAATTGCTGTTCATTCTTCTTAAGAACAAACACACACCACGAAAAACACACCCAATGGCAAAGAAACATGTTTGCCTATCCAAATTAGAGCTCTAATCTTTTCTTGGTAAATCTCCCATTCAGTGATAATAAATCTGAAACAACAATCAGATTTCAAATGAGCTAATAATAAATCTGAAACAACAATCCAATTATGTTACATAGAACAAATCGAGGGAATGCCATAATAAAAAAGGCTTACCTGAATTTTTTCGAAGTGCATATGTACTAGGAGAAGAGATGACATGATGAATTGAATTGTAATATCTTGATGATCTATCATGTCACAGCCCTATGCTTGACCAAAGCAACTGAACAACTTGTACACAGGAGACTATACACAGTTTCAAAGCACATAAAATACCCACCAAAAAAAATAAAAAATAAATAAATAACCTTTTTCAATGCATCAAAAGCATTCCTCCTTAGCACTGCATCTGGTGCATAGATAACAACCATCTCAACAGCCTGAAGTGTTTCTTTCAACTGTTAGAGAATAAATAAACATGAAATTCGGTATATATATACACAAGAAATGGCATGAGACTACCTGCAAAGTAGCAAAAAGACTAGGCATGTAAATCGAACACACCACATGTTCATTATTATATTCATGGGAGACATTTCCATCAACAATGCAAAGAAGGAAATTGATGGCCTGCTTCTTCAATTCCCATGGTAAATTGACACATAAAAATATGTTCCTTAACATGCCTAGTGCTTGCCACCTTTTAGTCTGATTACTGGAAAGTTCAGCCTTGACAGCAGCCAGATCCTCCTTGGCAGCCTGAGCAACCTCATTGGATATATAACCCCAAATCACTAAATCAAAAGGAAATGCTCCATGTTAAGGAAACCGGCATTTGAGGCAGCCAAAAAATATCAGAAAACCCAAAAATAAATTTTGAAAATGCAACAAAAGGAAAAAAGAATATCAAAAACTACAAACTTGATAGAGATGCTCCATGCTTGACATGAGAAAAACAACACATGTAACATCTCCATCCACTGTACATTAAACAACAAAATTGAACGACATTATTGGGAAACAAAACTTTGGCAAGAAATAAAATGAACTTTTACAACTTCGCAATATGGTTCAAAGTTGCAATATTTGTTGTATAATGTCCATGGTTATGGAATGAGGTAATATTATTTAATTTGTTACAAAAGCTGGGATAGCAAAACCCTAAAAAAAGGTAATTGATATGCAAGTTTTCATTTTCCCTTAGAAAATGTTTTTAATGAAGTTTCTTGAAAATTTGTGACAACAAGAGACAATTTTCATAGGCATTTTAGTTCTATATTTGGTTTTAAGTCATGTTGTTAGGATATACAGACTATCATTGAAGTTTTTACCATTCTTTCACGACTAGGATTTCCATTAAATCACAAGTACAACTAAAACAATCAAATAACCCTTTCTGGTGTGATTGAATATGATGCTGTGTTACGACTAAAGCCAAAGAGATGCAATCAATGGGCGGTAACTTGGCTCCTGTTGTACACACAGCATAGCCACACCCGTTTAGTAAGCGGGAGGTCTTGAGTTCAATTTTCAACGAAAGCAGGTTTCAATTTTTCCAATTTCATTGTGTCATTCAATGTTCTTCGAAATATATTGCTCCTGTTTTTTTCAGAAATTTTTAAGTACAGAAAAATATCAGTTGCTTGGTTTTTATTTTATTATTTTTTGGGTTATCATGGAAACACATAGGCAGTCATCTATGATATGCAGATTGATTTAAAACCCAACTAAATAGATTTTTCAGAAACTGTATAGCTTTGTGCTTCAATTAATTGAAATTGAAAACAAAAAAGGGGATAGGAAAGTATGATTTCTAACATTACATTTAGATTTGAAGCAATGTAACTCTCTTATATTGTTAATGAATTTATATATATTCATAAAATTTTAATACTAAACCATTACCAAAAAAAAAAAAAGACAATCTAAATCAACTAGTTTAAATTCTTAACTAGAGAAAACCACAGCTCTGAGTCCACCCGAAAAGCCCAGACCTGCACCGTCGTATCTACTTCCAGTCTGTTCTTCGTCAAAAAAGTGTTCCACCCGGTCACTAGACAGTAATTTGAGGTATATTTCAATTTCCACTGCTTTAGAGTTACATTATACACTTCACAATTCTTATCTGCTAGATCAATTAGCTTAACCGCTATCCCTCCCCGCTCGCTGAGCAAATCCTTTTCCTCTTCACTGAGAAATTCCATATTTTTTATTTGTCTCAGTGGCATTGACAGACGACCCTGACTAGTGTTAACGTCGGTGCTGTAGATTTTCTTTTGGATCACCAAAACTGTCTCAGAAACCTCTCGATCTTTATGAAGTTGTTTCAATTTTTCAGGCAATTCCGGTGGCTGCTGGTCTGGTACAACTACTACCCTTTCTTCATCATCACCGGCATCATCATCATCATCATCTCTATCAGCACGATGCTGCTTCGAACAACCAACCTCTTCAGATTTTTGTAAGCATGTTGCAGGATTAGATACTAAGGACTTGTTGGCTTTGTGTAACTCAAACAAAGTGATCTTGTATAAATCAAGATCACTGTTCTTGATGAATGCCCGTAAAACCTTCAATTTAGTCTCACCTTTGAGTTTGAGAAGATTGTCCTTTGCATCGTCTACCTTATGAACAAATTTACACCAATCATCATCACTACTCTTCCTCTTCATTATGCTTGAACACGAACACAAACAGTTTGAATCTTTGCCAAAGATTATTGGCAAAGAATGATTTGACAGAAGAACTATTTGTTGTGAGTTGGAGAATGAGAGGTGAAATTTCTGGGATATTCATGTACATATTTATATACACGAAATATTACACTAAATATGGAAATCAAAGAGATTGTAATGAAAAGGGATTCCAAAATTGTAATGAAAAGGGATTCCTAAACTAGAATGAAAACGTGTAATGAAAAGGGATACCTAAAGCAAAGTGTACTTCTTTTTTTTTTTTAACTTGGCAAAGCGTACTCTAACAGTGTCCTTGTGGAACTGTTATTGGGGGTGATTATACACAAATAAATCCAAATATACATACACACAAGAATTGAAGGTAGAGAAAGTGAAGAGATTGGAGATCTGTACCTCAAGCTAAAGAGAATCTGGAAAAAGGAAAGTAAATGTATATATGGCATTGTAAATGGGTAAGTGTATATTCAGAGATCTTTCACCGAGCTTGTATCATTCTGAGATGAATCAGCGAGATTGTATCATTCTGAGATGAATGATACAATCTCAGAATGATAAATCACCGAGATTGAATCATTCTGAGATGAATCAGCGAGATAGTATCATTCTGAGATCGGATCGCCAAGATGAATCACCGAGATCGTAGATGAATCGATCCATTGAGAGCGTGAGAGAGAGCGAGCGAGAGACTGAGTAAGGGATTAGGGCTACAAAATGTATTATGGGTTGGTTTGGGCAGCGGGTTGGTTGTTTTGGCTTTTGATTTTTTTTTTTTAAGTTATTTTAGTTCGGGGTTAAACGGTTTTATTTGCTGAGTCGTGCTTGCTAGCTCGAAATGAGCAACCCCGAATCCCCTTTCTTTTTTTTTTCTTTTTTTTTTTCAGAAGCAGAGAAGGAAGAGAGGAGGGGAGGGAGAGCAGGAGGAGAAAGGAGGGGACTGGAGGGGCCTTTCAAAAGCAGAGAAGGAGAAGAGGAGAAGGAAGGAGGGAGGAGGAGGAGGAATGAGGGGACTGCGACGGCGGGGCTGGGCTGCGACTACGATTGACGGCTGGGCGACGATCGGTGACTGGGCATCGGCGATCGACGATCGTCTTCTCTCTCTCTTCTCCTCCCCTTTGCTCTCTCCCTCTCCCTCTCCCTGTTTCAGAGTCGAAAATAGAGAAAGAAAAAATAATAATAATAATTCTCCAAAACGACGTCATTTTGGAGATTAGAGGAATTAGGGAGGCCAAATTCGAGCTCTCCAACATTAGCCTCGTTTGGGAAGTGGCTATTTTACTAGGCTATTTTAGTTTTGTGTTTGGGAATATGAGATGAATTTTTAGTTGGGTTCTTGTATTGGAAAGTGTGTTGAAATGATGTTTAAATTTAAAATGACAAATTTGTCCCTAACTTTTTATTTTTTAAATTGATATAAAGGGTGTCCAGCGCAGTGCCTTTTTTTTATAAAAAAAAAAAAAAAAAAACTGTGAACAGTGTCACTTTTTGGCTTATTTATCAAATGAGACTATAATAGCCTCATTGGCAGCTTCCCAAACAGCGCCATTATCCTTATTTGCTAAGGGTTTTTGGCTTATTTTTTTATTTTATTTTTTTAAGAGAAATAATATAATGATTATAAATTAGATGTGATATTTTATTTTATTAGACTAAAAAAATTATTTTATTTTTTGTGTGTGATTAAAATAGCCAAAAATATCCCAAACCTGGCTTTCCAAACAAAGCCCATATTTGATTTCCCTCGGATGGTGTTTTTTTTCAAGGGATTGTGGGGTGGAATTATACTATTAATCTATTCGGATTAATAGTTTGTTGTTTGGTTCAAATTTTTCTACACTAAACTATTATTGGACTGCTGTGTTTCATGGGAGGGGTGGGACACTAATGTTATTTTGAGAGATTGAGATGTGAGATTAGACTATTAGTTCATTCAGACCAATAATATGTTGTTTGGTTTAAATTTTTTTGTGTCGGACTATTAGTTTCAAATCTATTGGACTATTGTGTCTTGTGGTGAGGTGGGACACAAATGGAGGGATAAGGAGGATATGAGATTAGGTTGTGAAATGACCATTTTAACCCTCTATTATTTAATTATGTATTATATTTAGTAAAATTCAATAAAATTTAAATGTCTCAATTTAAAAATAAAATAATTTATTTAACTTTTTTTTAATATTTTATAGATATTTTATTGATGTTTTATTTTAAAATTTTGTTTATATTTTATTTAATTTCATTATTTAAATTTTAATAGATGTTTTATTTAATTTCATTATTTAATTATTGTTATTTTTTAAAATAAATTTATTAAAAATTTTAATTAAAAAAATAACATGTATTTTTATGGATATTTTATTGATTTAATTTATTTAATTTTTAAACAATAAATTTATTTAATTGTGTAAAAACTAAAATAAATTTTTATTTAATATAGTTAAAAATAATTAAAATATTAAATATAGGTTTAATATTACTATTACTTAGTAAATAATTGAAAATGATAAAATAGTCATTTGAACATTTATCCTTCTCCATAATATCTTAAACAAACATAGGATTCGTATCATATCCAACCAAATAGTCATTTCCTGATACTAAATAAACATGGGATACAAATCTAGTCAAACCAAATAGTCAGAAAGATAATATATCCCAAGACTAACAATTATGTAAATTTTAATTCCTCCTTATTTAATCCGTCTAAACAAACACATCCTTTACGTGTGTGCGCACGTGCACACTTGCGCACATTCCTTACATTTATCCCTCCGAAGGGAAGTGATATTTGTCGACGGAATGAAAATATTTCCCAGAGAGATTGTACACAGTAATAGGCGTAGAAATTGCTACATAGGGAAAATAATTTGTAAACAGAGAGTTTTGTTTTTTGATAACTTTGTAAACAGAGAGTTTGTAAGAGCATCCCCAGCAAATGCCTTATATGGTATCCTTACTCAAAATAAGGGATTTTGCTGTCAAAAAGAACCCCCATCAAATCCCTAACTCGCTTCTCAAATAAAAGTGTTGCTACAGTTGCTCCCCAAATGTAGGGAGCCACTGTTCACTATCCAAAAATATAAAATTATTTTTTATTTCGTTTTGAAGGCATGCCTAAAGGTCCTCCGGACATCCACCCGGTCGACCCTCTTTCGTTGCACATAAGCTATCATGTTGTGTGTGCTCTTGCTTTTGTTTTTATTATTTTGTTGCTTTTGCTTTTATTATTTTATTATTAAAAAATATTTAAATTTAAAAGTAATAAAAAATGTTATTTTAATAGAATAAAGAAATAATAAGGAGTTTGTTGGGAGAAGTAAATGAAAAAGTGATTCCTAAAATAGGGAATGAATTTTTTAATAATATTTTTAAGGTAAAATTTAGATAAACTGGTGAGAATACTCTAGGTGCAATGTCATCCAAATGATAAATTTCTTTATTTTTAAAAAAATATTTTAACTCTCCCACACATGATTCTCCCTCATTCTCTCATTTGCGTCATTCCTTTCCTATTGAAGCCAACTTCTCCTCCTCCCTCCATTGTTGTCCTTATGTCCCTGTCCACCCCTGCCATAGCCCCTACGTTACTCTCTCACGATTGCTATTTCCCCTCTCCTTCCTTGCCATAGTCCCACCCCATTCTTTCTCAGCCATCGTCATTTCCTTTCCTTCCCCTCCCTTATCGCAGTCCCTAGCCCTTCCCTTATTCATTGTCATTCTTGTTTGTTTTTAGAGGTAGAATTGAGAGGATTAATAGTGAGGGAATTGATAGTGAAGGGATTAAGTAAAATTATGTTTATTTTGATGATAGTTGTTAGTGTGAAGATTGTTAAATTATTTTTATATAAAATAAATATAAAATAATAAAAAAATAAAAAAACATTAAACATTAATGTTTTTAAAAAAATACCCAACATGTAAATTTTTTTTAAAAATAAAAATAAAATTAAAAAATTAAAAAAATAAAATAAATAAATTTTATATATACTTGAGTAGGGATGTAAAAATGGCCCAAGGCCTATAAGAGGCTTGAAGCGCGCCCGCGACCCGAGGTGTCTGAACAGTTTCGGCCCGAGCCCGAGCCCATCACAAGATCTTAGGCCTGGGCCTTCCATTTGAAGCCTGTCCCATTGGCCCATTGGCCCAACCCGGCCCAAAAAATTTTGAGCTTGGCTCGGCCCACCCAACCCTCTCTCTACCAATGGTCAAATTTCAAAAAAATAAAAAACAAGTTACAACGGTTAAATAATTAAAAAATAATAATAATAAATAAAATAAAATAAAATAAAGGTTTGATCTTGTAACAACGGTAAAAATAAAAATAAAAATAAAAATAAGTCATTTCCTTGCAGGGAAGTAGAGCTAATGCTGCCCCCTGCCAGTGCCACCTATCCCCTCTCTTGTCATGCATCATTCTTCACTCAGATCATCATTGCAAGTTGCAATGAATGAAAAATAAAAATAAAAAAGTAATGTTTGCACCTTTGTAGACTTAAAAAAAATTAATAATAAAAATAATTTAATGGTCATATTATCATTTAACACGACGGTAATTTTTTTTTATTTATAAATTTACTTCAATCTTTCAAACTTCTATAAATATTTCCCATTTTTCAAAATATATGTTTTGGGGGTTTTTTGATTTTTTTTCTTTTCTTCTTCCTCGTCGAGCTCGACAGAACCAGAGGGGAGGGGAGGGGAGGGGAAGAAGAGCCGCCGGTGGGCCGGACTGGAGGGGGCCATAACCAGTGGGGGAGGAGGAGGAGGAGGAGGAGGAGGCGGAGGAGACGGCGGTGCGGCAATGCTGCGACGGCTGGCGGCGAGGCGACGAGCTGCGACGGCGACGATCGGACCTCCCCCTCCCTCCTCCCTCTTCTCCCCCTCCCCTCTGGTTTTGGATCATCGAAGAGAGAGAGAGAGAAAACAAGAAGGAAGAAGAAGAAAGAAAAAAAAAACCCAAAACAACGTCGTTTTGGGGACTGCCGGGTAGGGCGGCCGATGATCCAAATTCATCTAGAAAAGGCCAAATAGCCATGATGGTTACTGATTTGGGCGTGCAACATAGGGGGCAATGATAATCATATAGCATAGTTAGGGGCAATAGGGGTGGTGGTCGGCAACAAATACTAAGCTCTTGTTTGAAATGTTTTAAAAAAATTAAAAAGTTTGAAAAATTATTATTCTATTTAAATTATATGATATTATTTAAGTCACATTACTTTTTTAGCATATCACTTCAAATTCAACTTATATTTCATATAAAGTCAAAAAATATATTTATTTAGATCAATCCAAACCACTCTTAAAATGAGAGAAGGCATTGAGCTAGGTATATAGAAATAACAATAAAAATAAATTAAAAAATAAATTATCACTACATTAACACGACACTTATTGATTAACCGTAAATAACTTTTATCTCTTTTTAATAAATTAAATGGAAAAATGAATATTTAGATTTTTGATTGAATGATCAAATTAATTTCAGAAAATCAAAATTTATATAGAAAAGGAAAGAAATCACAAAATAATTTTTTTTTTTTAAAAAACCCCTAATTTCAAAAGCACTACTGCCAAACAACATTTGCAAGAAAACAGAACCAAAAAAAAAAGAAAAATTATTCATCAAAAAAAAAGGAAAAGAAATAGAACGACCTAAAATTATCCCCCCAAAAAAAAAAAAAAAAGCATGAAATAGGACGATCACACACACCTCTGGCTCTGTATATAGCAACCCCCAAGTCCCATATAAAAGTGCCACTCAGACAATATCGTTTAGTGTCACTCTCGTATGCGCACAGCTCTTCCTCCTCAGGTAAGTCCTTGCGTTGCATTTGCTTCGCTACTCAATTCCAATTTGATCGAAATCTATTCACAACTCATTTTCAGCTTTCAATCGAAGCTTAATTCACTCACATAGAGGCTTCAATTCTCTCTCTCTCGCTCCCTATATATATATGTTTTTGTTGCAGGGAAAAAATGGGTAGTTTGGTCGAGAGGCTTCGTGCTAGGTCTGATCGAAAACCCATTTACAACATTGATGATTGGGACGACGATGCTGATATCGACCATGGAAAATCTGGGTCTGGTCCGCAAAAATTTGAAAGGATTGTTAGAGCTGATGCGGTCTGTTGTTGTTCTTTGTATCTTGTTTGTTTCTTTTGCATAATTGATTTGTGAACCCATTTTTGTTAAGCACAATTGGGTTTTAAACTCTTGATTTTTTATTTTGTTACTTGTGATTGTTTCAATTCATGATTTTGATATCTGTGCCAAAATTAACGTTATTTGGTTACAGGCATTGTTGGAGTGACCCAGGATTCTACATTTAGTTTTGAATTATTGTTTTATTTTATACACAGTTTGATTGAAAAATTTAAGTGTTGTTGCTTTGTTTGACCTAATCACCTATGAACCACTCCAATGGACAAACTCAGATTTAAATAGAAATTTGTGTAAAAGTTTTACTATTGGTAGAGTGATAAATTTAAGAGTCACAAAATAACTTTGAAAATTTGAGTAAACATTTGAGTCTCTCTTGATTTGGGTAAAAATTTGAGTAAAACTCAATTTGGTATTAGTTTAGGTCAAGGAGTTGAGGGTGTTTTGAGTGATTTTTATCCAAACTTAAATTTGATATAGGTTTTGACTCAGAGATTGTAGATGCCCTAATGTATAGATATAGTTAGACAAATGTAGAAGGGGATACTAGTTAAATAGCTCTAATTTTTTAGCCAAGGGATGATTTTTTGGTGAACTGATTACACAGAGACCATGGTGATAAATAAGGGGGAAAACTCTATCGATTGCTTAGGTGAGATCAAATTGAGGGTTTTTTTATTTGTTAGTTTCTAACTTTTGGGCTGGACCACTAAATGTCTCATGCTTCAACATGTACATATCCTCTATTACACTGCCGGGCCCAATGTGACGATTTCAAAGCTCTCCAAATAAAAATCAAATTATAATTAAGAACTTATTTAATTAAGTATTAATTAATAAAGTTTGAATATATATATTAATATAGAGTGGGCGACCACTTGAATTTTTTTTTAACTCTAAAGGGGGTGAGCCTATATATTTTGGAGATAATTAATAACAAATACTAGTGTAATAAGGGAATTTTTCGTAATCGTAAGGGTGGGTGACTTTCGCCCCGATTTGCAACACCATGGGTCCATCCTTGACTCGCTATTCACCCCCCCTCCCCCCGCGGTTGATTTACCTTATTTCTACAGTCATTTCTATATTTCGTGCTGAAGAAATTAACTGCGCTTTTCTTGGTTTGATGCAGCATTATGCATACAGCTGGGACAATAATTTGGGAAAGTTTGGATGACAACATATTCACCACTTAATGATAATTGAAATTTGTGAGATTTTCCAACTGCAAAATGAATTTTTCCTTCATTACGAAACTAAAAGATAAAAGCGTTAAAATTCTTATATGCCTCAGGCAGTCATTTAATGTTGTCACCAGTCATTGGGACTTTGTAACATTTACGAATCAAGCGTTGTGTGCTCATTTATTTGTAAATATAGGTGGTTCAGCTAGAGGTGCAGTTGGGTTGAGATGGCTGAGTTTTGGGTTGTTCAGGATGGTGTTGGTTAAGTTACGAGCTCTAGTAAAGGTCACGCCTGAGCTAAGCTTCAATTGGGTTGAGATGGCTGAGTTTTGGGTTGTTCAGGATGGTGTTGGTTAACTTACAAGCTCCAGTAAAGGTCATGCCTGAGCTAAGCTTGAGTAGCCCATTTAAGTTTGGTTTGTGTTGGTTTGCCTGAGCTCAGGTTTGTCAATGAGCCTTGTTGAGCATTTACGATTGTATGTTGTTGCAGTAATTTATATATAAAATTTTTGCAGTTCTCAATGAAGTTAATAGTTGTAAAGACAAGTTCACAACATTTGTTAGATATGAACATTATTCATTATTATTACAAAATAGGATGCATTTTTTAAATGGACTTGCACTGGTAGGTGAGATTGTGAATTACAGTAAAAATTGACTGAACAATCAGATATTTCCTTTTACAAGTGACTAGCATGGATTGTTTCTTCCGTTCATTTGAACCTCAACACTGGGAGATTTTATAGGAATTTTACTGCAATCATCAGATATTCGAGATTGCACTTCCTTCTGTAAATGTCTAGCATTGATCCCATTGCTCTTATATAGATTTCACTCACTGAAACGGGCTTGATTGGTTCTTTGTGGATGCATTTTGTAGCCCAGCTCATATTTGGGCTGGCGGAGCGTGTTTGCTTGGGTCAGATATATGATTGCATTGTTTCCCATAGGTGCTGCAACTAAATCACAACTAGTTTCATTGGAATGTTCAACTTGACAATGCCAAAAAAATAAAACCAGTGAAAGATCAGTTCTGAATTATTGAAATTTATAGACATGTCTCATTGATTGAGGTTGGCATTCTGTGAAAACATAGGGTTGTCTGACTTAAAATTCAGCTCCTTTTAGGTGGTAGCTACTTGTGCTTATGCATTATACACAATTAATGGAAGATCCATGAAATCTATTCAGTTTTGAGCACTAAATAAAGTTTCAAACAGCCCCATAGATTTTGAAACACTGTGATCCATGGCAAATTCACTATAAACAAACGGGTTGCTGCAATTTGGCACATACCTTTTTTATACTATTTTTTAGATAATAAAACACAGAGACCGGTGTCACAAGTTGGACTAAAATTCTGCTCCCCTTTAGGGTAACAGGAGGTTCTACTCAAGCTAGCAGCTTGTGGTACTTTGTCCATTGTCTTGTTTCATCCATTCATGAAGCCAAAAAGTTTTAATGGCCTTTTTCTCAAGGAATTTGATGGAAGCCTTTTTCTTGTGGAAATTAATCTGCAAGAAGTCCAACTCTTAGAGAGTTTTGAATGTGACATTGTGATAGTTGGTCTTTATAAGTACCACAAGGCGGGCTTAAGGTTCTAAAGAGTGGGCAACTTTTATGTAAGGTAAAATGGCCTACGTTAATAGTATTTTGTGAAAGGTTAGGTAGGGAATATAAATTGTGGCCTGGGCCATGGGTTCAAACCGTTTTGTAGCAAATGAAGTGGGAAAATTCCTTAAGTTTGGTGTTTTTCTCGGGGTTTTGATTGAAGAATCGTTAAAGGAATCACCTTGGGTTATTGAAGAGTTGTAATTTGTTCGCTGTTTCGGAGTTTTACTTTTCCAATTAATGATTGTGACAGATTCACAACCTAATTTTTCTTTACCTTTGCTTCCGCAAAAAGTCCAAAGAGGACTTCAACCGAAACATTTGATAATGGAAACCTTGGGTTGTCAGAGTGCATGAACGTGGATAGCATTAATAGTATTTATTCTTCATAGTAGAGTAATCTTGTTTTAAGGTATTCTTGTCTGCTGCTTGAACCTAATCGTATGTTAGATATATAATTGGCTTGGAATGTGAAGGATTAGAATGATAATTATGATACTTCTGATTTGACTATAAGGATTGGCAAAAGGAGATCCCATAAAAAAATTTATGCTATTCTTGAAATAGTTTAGGCTAAGGACTAGAAACTCCTGTGAGGTTTCATCTTCAGATTGACAGGTACTGTATCAGGAATGTTTTGGACAGCTGCTGGTATTCTGAATTTGAAATGCATCAATTTCGTGGTTGTACTAATACTAGAGCTTTTATGTCAAAAATTGCCTCTTGGGTTTTATATTCTAGAAGATATGCGGTCTCATATAACTTAAAATTTTTCATTCTGTTATTTATTTTGTCTACAGAAACCTGATTCATGTCAAGCATGTGGTGAAGGTGGAAATCCTTGGTGCTGTGAAACATGTACATATGCCTATCACCCCAAGTGTTTACTTGCACCGTTGAAACCCCCTCGTCCTAGCAACTGGAGGTGCCCTGAATGTGTAGGGTTCCATTATGCCTTGATGTTGCTAGTTTTGCTAGACTTTCATGCCATTGTAATATATTGATGCTGGCAAGATTTAAAATATTTTCTCATTGCAGGCTAGCCCTCTAAATGAAATTGAAAAGATCTTAGACTGTGAAATGCGCCCTACTGTTGCTGATGATAGTGATGCCTCTAAGCTGGGTTCAAAGCAAATATTTGTGAAACAATATCTTGTGAAGTGGAAAGGATTATCTTATCTTCACTGCACATGGTATTTCTGTGTTTAGTGGTTGCCATTGACAATTTCTTTTATTATAAAGGAACCTAGATATCTTGAGTAGTTTATTTCTCCTGAAGGAGAATGTCCTAGTTTACAGTTTGGTGACTTGTAAACTAATTGGAATACTTCTAGTTGTCTTTTCTGGTGCCATAATAAATTTGTTAGGTTTTTTTTCTTGGTATGTTTGTTTTTCCTTGAATATTTTTAGATGCTATAACCTCATCTGCTGGATACCTTATCTCAGGGTGCCCGAGAAAGAATTTTTAAAAGCTTACAAGGCACATCCTCGTTTGAGGACTAAAGTAAACAACTTCCAGCGTCAAATGTCATCAATTAATAACTCTGAAGATGAGTTTGTGGCTATTCGTCCTGAATGGACTACTGTTGATCGGATTCTTGCTTGCAGGTTCAACTATCTCAACTTTTATATTACTCTTGTTCTATGAATAGTGTTCAACTCTGGCTGTAAATTTCAACTATCCTAACGTTTTTCACTTTGCCAATCCACCCTTCATTGAAATTTGAATTTCACTCAAACTTTGATAACTTCCGAATTTAATTAATTTGGGCAACTTTGTTCCAAATCTTTAGTGTTATTATGCGAAATCTTGAATAAACTTCAGATTGGAGACAATCAGACATATTTGATTCTTTTGCTACATTCTGATAATAGTATCATGTTCATGGCTTGTTATAGTGTGGCATTGAGAGCTTGAATTTCATTCATTAATTTTGTAGGGGAGATGATGATGAGAAGGAGTATTTTGTTAAATGGAAAGAGCTTCCCTATGATGAATGTTATTGGGAATTTGAATCAGATATTAATTCATTTCAACAAGAAATTAGTAGATTTAACAAAATTCACTCTAAGCATCGCAAACTATCTTCAAGTAAGCAGAAGAGCAACAATCGTGATGCCACAGAACCAAAAAACAAACAGAAAGAATTTCAACAGTATGAACACAGTCCTGAATTTCTTTCTGGAGGTACATCCGGTCTGATATCTGCTTTATGTGATTGTGCATGATTGTTTGTTATTTCTGTTCTAATTTGACCATCATGAAATTCTAATTGCATTTTGATGTAAATGAAGGCTCACTTCATCCATATCAGCTTGAAGGGTTGAACTTCTTACGTTTCTCTTGGTCCAAACAAACGCATGTGATACTTGCAGATGAAATGGGCCTAGGTAGGTTCTCTCTCTCTCTAATTGTTGTGTAATTTTATTTTTGTTTTTCCTTTTTTCTTTTCTTCTGGTAGTTCCTTTTTGAATATCAATAGTTAGATTTGCATTGCTGTTTCTACTTTCACAACAAATGGAACTTAAGTGTAGGTGTCACTGTTGCTGTCACTGCCATTTATAATGGGCCTGTTGGGTGCAACTTTTTGTAAGCTGAAAGATAATAATCAAAAAGCAAAAGCCAACAACACCCCTCCCTCAGTAATCAGTTTTTTCCAGCTTATTTAAGCTATTTTGCCTAATAAGATATAAGCAGAAGTTGCACCAAATAGTCTAGCACAAACTCCCAAAATAAAAAAGGCTATAAGTAGCTCAGATAAGCTGCACCAAACAGCCCCCGAGTTATAAGAAATTGTCAATGCAACTATTACATGATTATTCCAACTACATTGAGTATCATATATGGAATGATCGAAGTAGGGATTGTCAGTCTTAAATCCGTTATTTAGATAACTATTGTTCTAATAACCATAAAATGAAAGTGTGCTATTAATCTAGGCCATCTAATGTGAGATTAATTGTATTGATAATGACCGCTTAACCAGTTTTTCCACTGATTCATTCCAGCATGCTGAACAAAGCAAATAGAGTTCCTTTATATTGAAGAATAGATGTTTAACTTCTGCAAGTTAAGAACTTGTGTATGCGCATGGCAAGGAGGATATATCAAAAAATATAAATTCTTATTATTAATATTTTAAGTGCCTCGGTCATACTCGAAATAAAGTAAATATGTGGTTTACCTTTGATGCAGGGAAAACAATACAGAGCATTGCTTTTTTAGCATCTCTGGCTGAAGATAATCTCCGTCGTCCACATTTAGTAGTAGCGCCACTCTCAACATTGCGTAACTGGGAACGTGAATTTGCAACATGGGCACCTCAAATGAATGTTGTATGTATATGGTTTTTCAACCTTCTATTGATAATCAGTGGACCTGCATTACCTGAATAAAGTTTCTTGCCGCAGGTCATGTATGTTGGCTCTTCCCAAGCTCGTGCCACCATTAGGGAGTATGAATTTTACTTTAAAAAGAATAAGAAGAGCAAAAGGAAGAAATCTGGTCAAATTGTTGGTGAAAGCAAGCAAGATAGAATAAAATTTGATGTCCTCCTAACATCGTATGAAATGATTAACTTAGACACTACATCATTGAAACCGATAAAGTGGGAGTGTATGGTAAGATTCTTTGGCCTGCTGAGTCCTTTGCTAGTTTACAGTATGTTTCTTGCTAGTAAAAACTGGTGATATCTCTATGTAGATTGTTGATGAAGGTCACCGTCTCAAGAATAAGGATTCAAAATTATTTTCTTCGATGAAGCAGTACTCTACTAAACATCGTGTCCTTTTGACAGGAACACCTCTTCAGGTTTGTTGTCAACTTCAAGTATTATGTTTTTGGGTACTGTTATAATTTATAAATCTCTTATTCTTGGGACATGTTTCATTCTTAGTGGCATATTTATTCATTGGATGGCATTTTGCCCTTTAACTAATTTTTTAACAAAACAAAAGTACCACCTCTTTGTAGACATTTCCCTATATGAATCGTTGGAATTTCGTAATAGTTGTTTCACATTTCAACTGATATGCTGCATACCAGTTGATATGTGTTGTTACTTGGTATTGTCAGTACCATGAAAGATATGGGACTGATATATTAATCATAGCAAAATTTCTTTCTGTATTGCTTTGTATAAGCCATCTTAGTCTTGATGACTTGTCTTAATATGTAATTGCGACCCTGTAAACCCTAAATCTCATCTGTTGGCCATGTCGTCCTTCCTTGGGGACAATATTTGGTTTTATGGTTTGTATCCTAGTTTGATCAGGGGATTAAATTAAGGGCCTTTTAATCACATTAGTAGTAATAGTAGACCCAATCATTGTGATGTACCAGAATAAGATAATCCACAGACTTGCAATTCAATATAAAATATCTATATGCCGCTAAGCTGATTTTCCAGTCAAATTAATCCACAATCTTACATTCAATTACCGCGTAGGATGATGATGAACTATACATTGCCAATAATAAAAAAAATGAACTATACAAAGCAATTCCCAAATTCAGAATATGTGAAAGTAACCAAGCCAAGACTAATGCATGCGCAAAGCTAATGAAAAATTGTTAACTGCTGATAAAAAAAATGTAAAATTGTTAACAATTAGTGATATGGACCTGGAATTTTTTGGATCCTGAATGTGCACATGAAATTGTTTTGTCATATCAAATTGTTTGAAAGCAGAGACAAAAGAGCACTACAAAACTCTGGATGGCTTTATGTACAATCCATATGGTTTGAACACATGTGAAGCTGCTCCTAATAGACTCCTGCAGCTTCCTGATATTGGTTCTTGTGATTTGAGGAAAAATAGAAGAAAAAGAATTGAAAAGTTGATGAGGGATTTTCTTTGGGAAGGAAAGGATGAAGGTAAGAAAGATCATTTGGTCAATTGGGGAGTAGCGTCCCTTCCCAAGGAGAAAGGGGTCTGGCTATAGGCAACATTGTGGGTAGGAATTCTGCCTTTCTTGGAAAGCAAGGAGGCCTAACCACTATATTTGTCCTCAATGGTGCATTTTGTGTTGGCAAAATGAGGAATCCTTGAATAATCTCTTCTTACACTGCCCAACGGATTGAATCTATTGCAACGTCTATTCTTATTGGGCGGTGTTCATTGGGTGGCCTCGGGGAAGTATGCTCAAATGTTAAGTTTCAAGGCTTGGTGGAAGTGCTGTGGAGATGTGTTGTATTTGTGATTTTTTGGGGTTTATAGTTGAAAGGAATTCAAGGATTTTTAGGACAAGTTTGAGGATGTATATTCGATGTGGGGCAAAGTGTGTCATTTGGCATCATTTTGGGCGTCTATCTCCATATAATTCAAAGGGGTTCCATTTTTTTTAATTTTTGGAGATTGGAAAGCGGTTTGTGACGTATAGATGTTTTTCGGGTTCATTTTTCTTTTTCATTTTAGAGGACTTCTTGTCCTTTTTTTTTGTATTTGTTGTTGATCGACAACAAACAAAAAAAAAGAAAGTAAAATACCAGAAGAAAAAAGGGAAATGAGAGAGGAATGAAGGAGAGAGGACATGAGAAGAAGGAACATGTCTCACAATTGAATTCTTCAATGCCATATTGAGAGCGAGAGAGAGAGAGCAAAACACTTCTGGGTCCTTCATCCACTGTATATGAGTTGTAATTAGTAAGGAGTCAACATTGATTAGTCAATTACATATATAAAAAACAATGCCCAAATAGGACACAATAATGTGTGTTTGAGAGGGGAAAGATTGGGTACGCACCTAACATTTGGCATAGTGCACATAGTGCATCAAGTGGAACAATTGATTCTCACTTGAGGTGGAATTTTGTCTGACTAAAGCTACCCAATTTGTAACTGGTGAGAATCTGGCATGGAAGTGTTTATTTTGGTAGGTTAGTGATATAAAGAGAATGCAAAATTACTGCATAATCTTAATTTGGGAAGTTTTAATGGTTTAATAATAAAAAAAATTAGGCATTTATGTTGGATAGCATTAATTTTGGTGTTGTATAAAAGTTCATAGGGATTTTGTATATAGACCATTGTAGGAAAATGAATTCACATTAAAATGGTACATCGGAATTTATGTTTAGAAGAGTATTAACTCTCTCTCTCTGTGTGCGTGTTCCTGTCTTGCTCTTCTGAGCTTGCTTGCTTGTTGTTCATTTTGTCTCATCTCTTTTTCTTTTTCCTTCATGTTATCTTCTCTATTAATCAAGTGGTATGGAACATTTTTTGGACCCTCCCTTTTGAAACTCTTCTTATTAGCTTAAATAAATTGAGAAAGGTTGATTACCTAGAAGTTGGGGGGGTACTTTTGGTTTTTGCTTTCTGATTATCACTTTTTAGCTTATATATGCCCTCATTAAATTAATTGTTGATTAATGGGTACGAGTGGAACAATTGATGCTCACTTGGGGTGGAATTTTGTCTGACCGAACATTGTTGCTTCTTTGCACTTGTGATGCAAGCTATCCAATTTGTAACCGTTGAGAATTTGGCATGGAAATATGTTTATTTTGGTAGGTTAGTGATATAAAGAGAATGCAAAATTATTTCATAATCTTAATTTGCGAAGTTTTAATGGTTTAATAATAGTGGTCAAAAAAAATTACGCATTAATTTTGGTGTTGCATATAAGTTTGTAGGGATTTTGTATATAGACCATTGTAGGAAAGTCAATTCACATTAAAATGGTACATTGGAAATTATGTATAAAAGAGAATAAAGTCTATGTCTCTCTCTGTCTCTGTTTCTGTCTCTCTTTGCGTGTGTCTCTCTCTCGTGAGCTTGCTTGCTGTTCATTTTATCTCATCTCTTTTTCTTTTTCCTTCATGTTATCTTCTCTATTAATCCAGTGGTAAGGAACATTTTTTGGACCCCTCATTTTGAAACTCTTCTTAGCTTAAATAAGCTGACAAAGGTTGATTACCTAGAAGTTGGGGAGGTGTGCTTTTGGTTTCTGCTTTCTGAGTATCAGCATTTAGCTTAAAATAAGCTGCACTGAATCAGTCCATCACCATTTATTCCCAAAAGTAAATTTCTTCTTTGTTTAATTAAAAATTCCAGATCCACAAGGTTTGCCAATGTTCATTTCCTTTTGAATTGAAAAAACCAATCCACACTTGTCGTTAAAACCTAGGTATTAAGGAGAGGGAAACTGGAGCTTTATAATAACCAACACAGATGGGGCAACTCCAGGTAATGTGAGATACATTCCAACACATCCTCTTGGACCACAACATACAGGAGCTGGACAAACGGCACACCAATCATAGGTCCAACCAAGTTCTGATATCAAATTGAAAAGTTCAACCCACACTTCTCTTTAAAACTTAGGTATGGAACAAGCTATTTTAGTAACTTTTTGGCTTTTTACGAAAAGATGTGCAGAAAAGTAGAGAGGTGATGTGACTAGTTTTAGTTGGCTTTTTTGCTTTTTGGCTAAAATAGTCAGTCCCCAAACGAGGCTTAAGGAGAGGAAAACTAGAGTCTTATAACCAGCACAAATGGGACAACTCCAGGTGATGTGGGACACGTTCTAACATTTTGTTTTGATGTTTGATTTATTTATCTTTTTTGAGATCATAGTCTAACTCTTAACTACAATAAGCTGAAACTTTTTGAAAAGTGCAATTTTTATTGCTATATAAATTTGGGGTTTCAATTTAGGGCTGAGATTGATTGGAGAATATTGTGTGGTTTTCCTAGGGTGATGCAAACCAGGCTCTGTTTGTTTTGATGTAAAATATTTTTGTCAAAAATATTTTATTCATTTTCCTTTGTTTGGTTAAACAAAAAGTAAGTAAAATGTTTTTTAAGGAAAATATTTTTGCATCATTTTCACAAAAATGACTTACCTTTAAAATTTTTGCAAGTCAATTTTTACAAAATTGACTCTCACTCACTACCCTTTCAACACATTTAGCCTTTTCAAATAAGTATCTTAGCTCACTAAAAAGTCATAAATAACATTTTTATTGAATCAAAATTTCTCTTTTAGATAATAAAATGTTTTTATTTCAAGTGTCAACCAAATGCCAAAAAACAAAAACAAAAACAAAAACATAAACATTTTTTTTCGTAAAATCAATTTACAAGAAAAATGTTTTTTTTTTTTTGTAAAATATTTTACTTAAAATGGAGCCCAAATGTTCTCTCCGCCTTTTCATTCCCATTTAGCATTTGCTTTTTCATTGTAAAAATCTCAATTTAATTGGTTTTCCTTTTTTGAAAATTTCATTTTTAAGTAATTGCGCTCCTAGCTCGACAACTGAGTTTGCTTTCCAGTGAGTAGCAATGAGGGCTCATACTAGTATATATTTCTTTAGCCTGGGATGACATCATTATTGAGCAACTGTTAAAATCCACCTACTCTCCACCCACTTCACCCACTTAAACCTACTCCACTAAACCTAACCCACTACACCACTACCACCTCCACTTCACCTACAAACCTAACCCACTAAATCCACATACTCTCCACCTACTTCACCCACTTAAACCTACTCTTCTCTATTTCTCTTTATACATTAAATTTTCTACATGGTATCAGAGCAAGGTTAAGCACTTAGTATTTTTCGCTTCACCGGAGGGCGGCAACCTCGCCTTGGCCGCCCGCCGGACCTCAACCTAATCTGCTAGAATTTTCTACACATACCTTGAAATTTCTTCGAGTCCACCACCACTGCCTCTCCTCTCACTGTTGTTCTCCCATACACCACCGTCTCGATCGTCTTCATCTACAATGTTGCAGTGAAGGATCTCAAGCGTGGTTTTGTTGCATCCAACTCAAAGGATGGTCTAGCCAAGGAAGCTGCAAATTTCACCTCCCAGGTTATTATTATGAATCACCCGGGTCAGATTGGTAATGGGTATGCTCCAGTTCTTGACTGCCACACCTCCCACATTGTTGTCAAGTTTGCTGAGATTGATCGTCGATCTGGCAAGGAGATTGAGAAGGAGCCCAAGTTCTTCCGTGAACATGCTCTCCTTCCTTTTACTCTTGGAGTGAGGCAGATGATTTGCTGCTGTAACAAGATGGATGCTACCACTCCTAAGTACTCAAAAGCAAGGTATGATGAAATTGTGCAGGAAGTCTCTTCCTATCTGAAGAAGGTTGGTTACAACCCTGACAAAATTCCTTTTGTCCCCATCTCTGGTTTTGAGGGTGACAACATGATTGAGAGGTCCACCAACCTCGATATGATTACACAGCCCAAGAGGCCATCAGACAAGCCTCCTCTTCTCCACATTCTTGATAACACCAACAGCAACAGTTTGACGCATTTATTAGAGAAAAGGTCCAAAGGCAGCTCCTGTCAAAGCTGATGCTCAGCAGGCTGTACCACCTATTGAAGTGCCAGCACTATCCTTGCACATGGGGGGCACCCACTCATTTCTTTATTGTTTTCTTTTACTCACCCATGTGACCCACGATGCAACCTATACTTTTTCTTTTCTTTACACTCTTGTTCCCCACTTTCTTTATTATATATATATATATATATATCTCTTTTTATTATATTATATTAAAAAAAAAAAAAAAAAAAAAAAAAAAAAAATAAAAACAAAAACAAAAAAAATTAAAAAAAAAACAAAAAAAATAAAAAACATCATCATCTCTCCTCCGTTTGATTTCCAACTCCATTATTTTTATTTATTTTCTCCAAACCACTTTCCTCCATCTTTCATTTTTTGATTTCAAATATATTTTTATTATTTTTTCTTTATTTTTCTTTCACATTCTTTTTAATCTTTTTCCAATTCCCTTCATACCATATAGCTTTGCACACCAAATCATATTTTATTCATCTCAGGGATCAACCCCGATCACAATTTTACACAAAAAAAAAAAAAATAACCAACAAACAAACAAACCACCACAACACACCCGCACCCACAGTGGGATTTTTCTTCTCTACTCTGCTGCAGGTCTCTTCTTCTTGCTTTTCTCTTGGGTGTCCCTTACCGGCGCTGCCTCCATACTACCCACTCCACCGAGCACGTTCACTCCACCCTGCTCCTCCACTACAGCATATGGTGGACCTCCAAATCGGAACATCACGGTAGCCTTCCGCTTCAGCTCCTTGTTTTCCGCCTTCAGCACACTTATCTCTGCTCGCGCATCCTTATACATGCGCTGGAGCAGAGCCAATTGGCCGTTTAAATGCTGCACCTCATTTGTCCTACTCTGCAGCCGGTGCGACAAGTTTGTGACTGCCGTCATCGTCTCCACACAGGACTTCAAAGTATACTGATTGGCTTCAATGTCAGTTTGCACTGCCATTTTTTGCTCCACCGCCCGCATCGGAAAGTTCAACGGAACAAAACCAGAGGTGTTTGGTTGAGGTTCACAGGCCACCGCACCAATTATCTCTCTTGTTGACTCGTTGAGGTCGGGAAAGAGGGTGAGCAGACTCCGGGAAGACGAAGCCATTTTCTGGACAACAGAGTGTTACAGAGTGTCTCTCTCAAGAAAACAGAGTGTTACAGAGTATCTCTCTCAGAAATCTCTCTCTAAAAACGAAGAGTTTTTCAGAGTTTTTCTAGCAGGTTTTTGTCTCTGCTTCAAGCCTCAGCCTCCGCTTCGGTTTATAAAGACCATGACAAAGAGGCCGACACGCGTTCTGTCGATCACGTGCATCGCCGCGTGTCTGGCGCACCTTTTGATGGCACGCCTTTTTATGGATTGGGCACGCCTTTTGATGGCAAACGCCTTTTTATGGATTGGGCACGCCTTTTGATGGCACCTTTTGAAAGATTGGGCACACCTTTTGAGGGTGGACTTTTTAAGGGTCCGACAAGACTCTGTAAACTGTCCCGACATTGATTCCGGTTAGCTCCTTATGGGTCCGACAAGACTCTGTAAACTGTCCGACATTGATTCCGGTTAGCTCCTATGGGTCCGACAAGACTCTGTAAACTGTCCCGACATTGATTCCGGTAGTTTCTACAACGGTCCGACATGACCCTAAACTGTCTTCTACATCGGTCCGACATGACCCCATAAACTGTCTTCTACATGGTTATGACACCCCTATACAGTGTCCTCTACAACGTTATGACACCACCATCCAGTGTCTTCACCAATGGTCTGACACGACCATACAGTGTCTCTTATCCTCTTTTATTTTTATGTATTTTCTTGTTTTGTTACTCTCTCCAAACTCAAGTTGGTTAGTTCCTATCCCCCTTGAGTTTGCGGGGGGTTGTTAAAATCCACCTACTCTCCACCTACTTCACCCACTTAAACCTACTCCACTAAACCTAACCCACTACACCACTACCACCTCCACTTCACCTACTTCTTACCTACTACACACTCACCCTCTTCTATATATAGGAATCATGAATCATTGTAATAGATATCAATATATCAATCAATAATACAATTCTCTATTTCTCTTTATACATTAAATTTTCTACAGCAACTTTGTTATTTCTTGTTGAAGGTGTATATTTTGATGATCCAACGAAGGCAAAATAGTTGATGAAGTTCAGTTGTTAAATTTATTTGTAATTGACCTTCGCCACATTTCGCCTGCTTTGGATTTTGAAGTTACATATCTTTCATCATGCGGTGTTTTTCATATTCTCTAACATTTATGAGTCCGACATAGTTACAAGACTCTAAGCCTGGGTTTGGCAATTTTTTATTAGCAACTTTTTTTGCTGAATTTCTTTCGAGTTTAGTGAACTTTTTCTAGAATTTTTCAAAAAATTTTTACACTTGTAGGTTCTACTAGACTCGACGGAACTGAAATGTGAAAAAGAAAAAGAAAAAAAATCCAATAAAGACAAAAAAAAAAAAAAAAAAAAAAGCTTAGAGGTTGCCTTTGTTGACTTTTTTTTTGTCTTTAATGATTTTTATTTTTTTACTTTTAGATCCTTCTAAACTAGACAGGCTTGAAAAAATAAATTTTTTAAACACAAATTTTAAAAATATCACTAAAGACAAAAGTGCCAAAAACAAAAGCGACTTTTTTTGCTCTTTCCATACAGAGTTTAAATCATCCAGCCAAATTAATGTATCTGCTTCTCTGTGGTGTGTTGTCTCCAAACCCACCGCATTCCACTGACCCATAACAGATCCTGGTTCATCATCTATGTTTTCATTTGTGTAGGTCACTCATATGAGCCATAGCTTTCCGTCGACATGCTATTTGTAATTAATAAATCCTGTAAATGGGAAATTTTCACTTTGCTTGGTTCCTTTTTTCCAAAAACACTTTTCAGAAAATTCTATGTTTTTGTTTTCCGTGTTTTTTTTTGTTTTTACTGAATTTTTTTTTTATATTTTAAGCACTTTATTTTTTATTTTTTAGACACACCTAACATAAATATACTTAAAAAGTAAAAAAATTGTGAAAAAAACCTTTTAAAAATTCACTAAATACTAAAAATACAAAAAAAAATATGAGAATTTAGTACATTTTTTTGTATTTTTATGTATTTATTAATTTTTTAAAATATTTTTTCACAAATTTTTTACTTTTTAGATACATTTAAGTAAGGTGCATCTAAAAAAGTAAAAAAAATATTTAAAAATTTAAAAATATTCACTAAAAACAAAAAAACATGGAAACCAAAAAACTTAATCCAAAAAACTCAAACCAAACACATTTCTGTAACATTTATATATGCATATCCTAATCCATCTTGTGTAAGCTTCCTAACTTGGGTCCAAATACCTTGGATGCTTTTATTGATAAGCCACAGTTTTGTTTCTCCAAGATTGTTTAATACTGCTTCCTTTTTTCTTCTATCACTTTTACTGATTTGCTTTTAGTCATCTAGTTGCTTCCTTATTAAATTTGACTTGACGAGTGTTTGCTTAATATCCCTGTATCTTATGATCTAAATTTTAGTGCACTAATGGGATACTGCGTGTACATTTTCTGGGTAGAAATATTGCAATGGGATATTGATTCTATTTAGTCAAAGCTTAGTTACAGTCAATGGTTTTATTTTTCTTATTTGACAGATGACTAGAGTAGCTTGACTCTCTCTCTCAAAAATGAAAGGAAAATATATATTTACTGCATGCACAATAGGCATTTGATTTAAACTGATTAATACCTTTTCTGGTAGCTTCAGCACTTGCAGTAAATTTTATATAAAATTGCTATTATTCAGTTAGATTTTTGCCATGAACTTACGACTACTCTGTTGATGCATTTCAGAACAATCTGGATGAACTTTTCATGCTTATGCACTTCCTTGATGCTGGGAAGGTTAGTATCAGTTACTCAGTGCAGCTTTGTATAAGAAGCAAATACAACCAAAATAGATGGCTACTAGATTCAACATTTAAGTTTAAACTCCGTTCTCTTAGTATTTTATTTTAATAATTGCAGTTTGGAAGTTTAGAGGAATTCCAGGAGGAGTTCAAGGATATTAATCAAGAGGAGCAGATCTCAAGGCTTCATAAGATGTTGGCACCTCATCTTCTTAGAAGTATTAATCTTGAACTCAATTTTTGTGCTCATCAACTTATGTTTTGTATGTTAAACTTTACGTAGGTTATATTTCATTCTCAATTATGTTAGTTAATATTTTACTTTAAATTAGTGAAACGTCTTTGCTTCTCTCTTTTTTGATTAGAATGAAAATATAATGTTAATAACAAATAGGAATGCTTGAGAAGTTTAAGAAAACAGTCCAAGATGGAGAGCATGAACAAGGATTTAGCTGTAACTTTAAACTGATTACTTCAGCAAAGGATGTTCAAAGTTGGTTTTGTGTTTAGCTGGGTGTTTTGGGATGACAGTTGTGGTGTGAGTTTTGGGATGACATGGTGTGATAACAGTTTCAGTTGATTTATCTTCACCTCTAAGTATAGTATTAAAAAAATCTATTTCACTTACTCTTGTTTGGCTCTGTTTATGAGATTTCTAATTGAAACACGTCTACAATTCTGTGTCCTGTGCAGAATATGTTATTTTCAATTAATTAATTAATTTTTGCTAAATTTAATGCAAATCCATTTTCTTTGTCTTGTACAAATCAGATAGAAGATGGAAGAATCATTTCTTTTCATTATCATTCATATACTATTTGGGTGGTTTGTTATGTAGTTTTGGAGTGTCATTTGTTTTTTGTTTAATCCTGGTTATGCATGGGGCAGAGATGGACATGTAAGAATCAAAAGCAGAAACAGTTCATTGAAGTTGTAGGATTAGCTTTGTTTAACCAAAATTTGATGGCTTGGTTTTATTTTGACTCTCAATCAAGGTTTTAAAAAGCGGCCGCAACCGTTACGTAACGCCGTTACGTAACGGTTTTGGCGGTTACCGCCACCCGTTACGGCCGCTTTTGCAGTGTGATTGAGATTCACAGAATCACAGGTGTGTCAGCCGTAGCGGCTGCCGTAACGGCCTGTTACGCACCGTTACGTAACGGTTCCAAACTGTTTTTTCCGAAAAAACATACAAAAAAAAGCTGAAAATTGGGGAAGAGGGATAGAGAGAAGAGGGAAAATAAAGAGAGAAAATGGAGGAGCAAGAGATAGAGAGAGAGAGAGAGAGAGAGAGAAGAGGGAAGATGAAGAACATGTTATTGATTTGTTGAAGTTGTAAGACCTATGCTATTTTATTTAGCTGCTATATCACTAAACTATTTTGTTTGTGTGTGTCTATCTATATATTGTTTGAAAATAATAATAATAATAAGTGTGATCATTAACTATTTGGCTTGGTTAAAATATGTATATATATATTTAAGTTCTTATTTATTCTCTTACTTTTGTCATTGTTTATCTTATATATAATAGTTAGTGATTGATTTTTTGTATAATATAAAATCATTAATTATTAAAATAAAATGCAAAAACTCAATTTATAGTGATTTAAAAATATGAAATATATTGGATCATACTTAAAAATTTACAAAAATTGATCAATATTTATTTTTAACCCAATAAATATGATCATAGAAAAAAAATATGCGTATCGGTAAGTTTTTTTCAAATTGTGCGAAAAATAAAAAAATTCATGGTTCCAGTTACCGCAACCGTTACACTACAACCTTTACACCCCGCAACTGCGTCACCGCCACCGTTACGGCGACCGCAACCGCTTTTCAGAACCTTGCTCTCAATTCCCCTTTAAGGAGGTATAGTAGTTGATATCGAGGACTTGAGGGAATATATTCAGCATCATTTGTTTAAATGTTAACTCTACTATTTGGATGCCTCTTTCTAATTGAAGGAACGAAATCTTACTTTGAAGTATACTCTTTTTGGGAACCCCAGCCAGTTGGGAAATTGTGGAATTTTCATAGATGGAGTTGTGGAATACAATTCTTATCTCTTGAGGCCAGATGGAAAGACATCGCTTTAAATTTTTTCTATTATCCTCTTTAGACTTTAAAAAATTATTATCTTTGAATTAAATATTCATAAATGAGACATAATAATTGCTTACCATTTTGTATGCCATAGAATAAATATGTAAAACTATATATTTAAGTGTCCCCCAAGTGTCGTGTCACGTCTCCATGTCCGGGCCATGGACTGTGCTTCTTAGCATGTGCATATATTTGTTTTTGTAAATCATTCCTGTTCAAATGCCTTTTTTTTAATAGTTTGAAAAACTTATCATACCTTTTGCATTTCCTTCTCTTTGTTCAAGCAATTGATATTTTGGTTATATATTATTTACTTTAAAATTGTTAATATGTTGCTGACATGTGGGTGTGAAACTGTTTTTAATGAAATTGCAGGAGTGAAGAAAGATGTTATGAAGGACCTACCTCCTAAGAAGGAGCTCATTTTACGTGTGGAATTGAGTAGCAAGCAGAAAGAATATTACAAGGCTATTTTGACTCGCAACTATGACATACTAACTCGAAAAGGTGGTGCGCAGGTGAGGTTGCAGGTTGTAGTAAGATAGATAGCATTCCTCTCATATTATTTTGACAAACAGTTAATTTTGTGTTTTTATTTTTTATTTTTTTTATTTTTAACTTAGACATTTAACTATGGTTGGATACTCTGAAACCAGATTTCTCTTATCAATGTGGTTATGGAATTGCGCAAGCTCTGCTGCCACTCATATATGCTAGAAGGAGTTGAACCATATATAGAGGATGCAAACGAGTCTCACAAGTAATCCTATGCATTTCGATTTTTATCTTACTATGTCTGTTGTGTATTAGAGAAACTGGGTTTTTTTTCTTCTTTTTTTTTTGCCTGCATCAGCATTAATGATTTTGTTATGTTTAGCTCATGTCTATAGGCAAGAAAACTGTCTCTATAGCTTAAATGATGTTTGTTATTGGTTCTTCTTTTATCAAAAAGGATTGTTCTGACATTTTGTGCTTATGGAAAGATTCATCGTTTGAGCTATGTCTTCTATTTGACAGACAACTGTTGGAATCTTCTGGGAAGTTGCAACTTCTGGACAAAATGATGGTGAAGCTTAAAGAGCAGGGGCATAGAGTTCTGATATATTCTCAGTTTCAGCATATGCTGGACTTGCTGGAAGATTACTGTAGCTTCAAAGTATGGATTTTAAACTAGTTTTGTATATGGTCTCTATGCCTTTTCCATAGCCTATGGATTGTTTATGTATGTGGAAATTTTATTTGAAAGTCTTTGTAATTTTTTTAGAAATGGCAATATGAAAGGATTGATGGTAAAGTTGGTGGGGCTGAGAGACAAATACGAATAGACCGGTTCAATGCCAAGAATTCTTCCAGATTTTGTTTTTTGCTATCTACTAGAGCTGGGGGTTTGGGAATTAACCTTGCAACTGCTGATACAGTTATTATATATGACAGGTACATACTAGTGTTCTTGGATTTTTTTATTTTTTATTTTTGATAAATAAACTAGTGTTCTTGGATTTGATTTTTCTGTTCTTCTCCCCCCACCTGTTACTGGTTTTAGAAAAGTGGTTCTAATTTATTAATTAGAAAAATTATGATAGGAGGTTTTGAGTAACCTACGAGTTAGCAGTGTGGTCCTGCACTGATAAAAGGAGATGTTAAAAGTAATTTCGAGGGTTATTGATAGACAACTTTTTGAATGCCAGAGAATGTTCTTATCATCAGAATAAATGATTGTATGAGAAAACAAGATAGATGATTTGAAATCTTTCCCTCCGTGTTCCTTCAGAGTAGCAGTGATGGTTGCACTGGGTTTATGGCCTTGAGCTCCTATATTATTGTGGGCCAAATGCTCAGTGCAAGATCTAGTCAGTATCTTTGTGACAAAGAAACTTGAATGTGGGTGTTTCAGTTGGATGTTGTGTATCTATTTGTAGAATTTGGTCCTGGAGACTGGAAAAATAAATCATTCTTTGGAATGGTTAATGGTTTGAATGGTCAAATACTCTCTCTCTCTCTCTCTCTCTCTCTCTCTCTACACTCCATAATTCCAAACTTAACCCGACCACTAGCCTCAGCACTTCTAACGCCTCGCTCGAGCGAAGGTTCCTCCTTCTCTCTCCTTTCCTCTCTAACTTCTATCCATCCACACCAAAGAGGATGGTGGTGGGGGTGGCATGACTAGGGTTTAGAAGGATATCTTTTAACATAAATGATGATTTGCAGATCTTTATTCTTGTGTTTGAACTTTGTGCGGCCAACCAAGTCCAAAAGTTTGTTTGGCCTTGTCTTCTGAATGGACTGAAATTGTTTAAATTAGTTATGTTCGGCCTTGGTTGTCCGCATAATCTTAGGATTGCAAACAACCTTAGTTTGTTTGGCAAACTAGGCTCTCATTGTATATGTCTGGTGTATTGATTGGAAGCATCATTATTTGTGTTGTATTCATTGTATATGTCTGGTGCAGTGATTGGAATCCCCATGCTGATTTGCAAGCAATGGCCAGAGCTCATCGACTTGGCCAAACAAATAAGGTAAAAGTTCTATCTTATACAGTGTACAGGCAGATGTTATTGGTCACCTTGGTGAGGGCCTTCTTTTTGCACTATTATGGATACGAAAATAATGGGAAAAATCAGATTCAATTGTCAACTGCCCCTATCAGAAATAGGATTGACTACGGATTCGAGCCATAGCACATGGTTGCTGTCTGCAGTCTGTCTTTTGCTTCTCTATCTTCTCTTAGCAAAGTAGGCTCAAGTCACACTTTGGCTTGCCACAAGCTGGGCTCAGGGACTGCAATCAGCGATGGTCTATATGGTTTTGGTAATTTCTTTATTTTGCAGGTAATGATTTACAGACTCATAACAAGAGGGACCATTGAAGAAAGGATGATGCAAATGACAAAAAAGAAAATGGTTTTAGAGCATCTAGTTGTTGGGAGGCTGAAAGCACAAAACATCAACCAGGTACAGATTTTTCATCTTAGGTCATGTGATGCACTTTTCCTGTTCAATTCTAGTAGCATATTCAGAATGAAAACAAAGTACTTAGATGATTTACCAATCTAAATCTAGTCATCTCAAATAATCAACAATATTGTTTGTTACTACTGGTTTCTTATCAGAAATGCTGCCATTTCACTGTACCTTTTGCATTTTTATTTCTAATCTTTTCTACCTACAGACTTTTCTTTGACTGACATGGAATGGTATACTAATAGTAAGTATTTACATCATTGAAGTGCAATGTTGCTTGTGTGTCTGTGTGATCCTGGCATGATGTTTGCAGAAATGTCGCTTTTTAAAATTAAAAAAAAAAAAAAAAATCAGGACGAAATGTTTTCAACCAAAACAATTTCAATCATGTTGTTGAATCTTTAATTGAGTGAATTGTGCAATTCAATTGCTAATTCATTGCAATTTGCTACGATTCATTGTATCCTGCAGAATCCCCAAGTACCAGTGAGATTTTTTGGAGCCTCCATTTTCATTACAAATTTAGCTGTTCAATCTTGTGACCTAAGGAGTTTAAACTTCCATTAAACATGTTCCTTCAAACTGAAAGTATCTTTTCTTCCACCATACAAAACCAAGACGTGGTTACAAATTCTTTTCTCAAGATGTCCTAACAAACAAACCAAAAGATAGAAAAATCAAGCACTTTAATACATATAAAGAAGCGATTTCCGGTGGGATGTGGTAATTACCTGGAATGCTTCCGGTGAGGGAGGAGATTGGCCCACGCCGGCGGATCCTCTTTCTTGGCGGACGGTCCTTCGAGATTGAGGAGATGGTGGAGACGTCTGGGGGTCATCGATGTTTGTCCATTGTGGAGCGAGGACAAGGCTTGCGTAGGGAAGTCAGGTTGGTGGGGTTTGAAGTACGATGGATAGGTGAGAAGATGCGATGGGCATCGCGGAACCAAGGCCGTCAGTCATTTGCGGGTCGGCTGGAGGGGAGACGATGCAATGTGGTAGTTTGGATTCGTACAGAGGGCGATGGCAGTTCTTCGTTTCAGATCATGCTTACCTCGGAGGGTGAAAGAACTCAGATTTTTCTTCCCATTTCAAATTTTGGGGAAGGCTGGGAGGGTGTGGCACTAGTTTTGGAAGGATTTGCTAAAGGGGATGGTTGGGTGACCTGGATTGATGCTGGTAAGAAGGCACCGAAAGGGTGGAGAGTGGCCACAGCGGCTGCGGGGGCAGTTGACTTGTTGGAGGTTGATGATGTGGTGGTGCAGGGTGTGTCAGAGGAGGGGTGGTCTCATTTGTTAGAGAGGGCGCTGGTGGGTCATGTGGGAGAGGTGGGGAGCAGAGGAGTTGGCTTCTCAGCTTTAGTGGATTGGGTTGGCCGTTGGTGGAAGGGGGTTGGGCGAGTGGAGATTCGTCCGATAAGGAGTTAGGCTTTCTTGTTTGTTTTTACAACTCGGTGTGAGGCCAAAGGTGTGTTGCAGCACAGATGGGTGATTGATGGACGCGATTTAGCTCTGCGTTGGTGGTCACTGACTGTGCTCTGTGACAAGGGGAAAAAGTTGGGAGCGGGGATGTACAAATGGGTTAAAGTGATGGGTATACCTTTGCACCTCCGTGAGGAAGAAACCTATCGGGCTGTCGGCGATCGGTGTGGGGGCTTTGTGGAGGCCGACGAACAGTCGACTGACCTGGGAATAGTTCGGTTGCTGTCCGAAAAGGGAGAAGCCTTCCTACTAGGGTTTTGCTTCGTTTGGAGTCGTGGTTGTACTCACTACCAGTTTGGCCGGAGTCGAGGCCGTCGGTTGAAGCTTCCTAGCTGGCGACTGTAACGAATAAGGAAACCCGAGTATGGAGGCGTGAAGATTGGCGGAATTAGGCGTCTGGACGATTTAGGGAAAGTCGTAGCTTTGGGAAGGAGGGTCTGAGAGATGGGTATGTGGGCAGACCATATGCAAGGCCTTTAATTAATAAATTGGGCCAGGGGAATTTGGGCCCCGTGGCCTCTCAAGTTAAGAAGGTGGGCTAGGGGGTTTTAGGCCCTACCACTTGGGTGCCTATGCATGTGGCCCAATCTTCTTTGACTAGAGATCCAGTTGTGCGGCCCAATGGGTTTTTGAACTCTTCTCAGGCCTTAGCTCAAGGATTACCTGGTCCAACAAGGAAGGTGGGCCCACAGGTGAACCCAACGATATACCAGGTCTTCGGGTCGTTATACACTGCTATTGGGTCGGGTCACCGAAACAACGGCGGTGAGGCGCCAGTGTTGGGGATGAACGACACGTTAACGCCTCTCAGGAAGGCGGGGTCTCCCACGTTGCCGTTACACCATGGGCAACACACAGTGGCTAGTGAATTAGCTTCTTCACTTTCGCCGCTTGGGGAGGAGCTCGATAGGCTGAGCAGGGATGTGAGGAGGACCATGAAGAATGAGGAGCAGAATCAAAGTTGGTGGGGCTAAGATTGGTGATGGCCTAGCTATAGTCCTTCAGCCATTGGTAGTGGAAGCTGGGGAAATGGTGGCACCCATCTCTCAGTCCGATATAGAGTAGGATTCTTAGGTGCATTTCCAGACAGAGCAGCCACCAACGTCGGAAGAGGTTTCTGAGTGGGTGTTGGCTCGGATTGCTGAGGTTAGTAAATTTTTGGGTGTTTCTTTTAAAGGGCATGGGGAAGAGGCTTTGAAACTGTTTTCAGCCTTTGAGATGTCATGGCGAGGAGGTGTGTCAAGGGGGCAAGAGTTATAGAGCACGGGCCAGAAGGATAGAGGAGGCCGGGAATTACGTAGATTAAAGTGCTCCATTAATTATGATTGTAACAGGACCGAAGCTGGTCGGCGGATGAGGAAGGGGCGCGGAGATCCTTTGTTGTTGCCATGCGTTTGAAAATATTGATTTGAAATGTGCAGGGTTTAAATGATAAAGGAAAGAGGGCAGTGGTTAGATCATTACTGAAGAGTGCTAGAGCGGATGTGGTGTGCCTTCAGGAAACCAAAATGGAGTGTGTGAGGGTGGATGTTGTCAGGGATATCTGGGGTGGGAGGCATGTGGATTGGGCCTTCCAACCAGCTATAGGGGCAGCAGGTGGTGTTCTTATGTGTTAGGATAATCGGGTGGTGGTGCAGGAGGGGGTGGAGATGGGAGGTTTTTCCTTATCCTGTCTGTTCAGATGTTTGGATGATGATTTTCGTTGGGTATTTACGAGGGCGTATGGGCCGGTCAGGAGATCGGAGCGGGAGGCTTTTTGGGAGGAGTTACAGGCTGTTGCTTTTTGTTGGGAGAGGCCTTGGTGTGTAGGTGGAGATTTCAACGTTGTGCGGAGTCTAGAAGAGAAGACAGGGGACAGGCAGGTGACGGGGCCGATGAAGGCGTTCTCCTCTTTTATGGATACGATGGAGTTGATCGATATGTCGTTGCAGGGAGGGGATTATACTTGGTCCGGAGGTTGGTCAATGTCTCGTATTGATAGATTCCTGGTCACGGGGGATTGGGAAAAGCATTTCTCCCAGATGTTCCAGGCTCGATTACATCGTCCGGTCTCGGATCATTGGCCTGTCCTTTTGGATAGTGGGGGAGTGCAGCGTGGCCCGACGCCTTTTCGTTTTGAGAATATGTGGTTACAGACCGAAGATTTTGGCGAGACGGTAAAGGCGTGGTGGGGGAGTTATAGTGTGGCCGGGTTGCCTAGTACCCGGATGGCTCAAAAGTTAAAGTTGCTTAAATCTAATTTGAAACGGTGAAATCAGGAGCTGTTTAGTCAGTTGGAGGTACAGAAGGCGAGTACTTCGTCGATTTTGCAGGGGTTGGATGAGAAGGAAGAAAGAGAGGGCTTGTCGACAGATGATGTGGTGTGCTGGGAGGGGGCGCAGAAGGATTATGGACGGATTGCTAGGATGGAGGAGACTAGTTCTCGCCAGAAGTCCAGGTGCTTGTGGTTGAAGGACGGGGACCGCAATACTAAATTTTTCCATCAAATGGCAAATGCTCATCGGCGGGTGAATCAGATAGGGTGGTTGTGGGTCAATAGGGTGTTGTTTTCCTCAGAAGTGGATATTTGGAATGGTATCGTGGGTTTCTACCAGCATCTTTTTAGGGCGGAAGGGGAGGGGTGGCGACCGGATTTGGAGGGAGTTACTTTTGATACTATTTCAGATGAGGTGGTGTTGATGCTGGAGTGCCCGTTTGTGGAAGAGGAGGTTTGGGGTGCATTAAGAAGTATGTCATGGGATATAGCCCTTGGGCCAGATGACTTTTCCATGGCCTTCTTCCAGCATTGTTGGGGGGTGGTGAAGGCAAAAATGATGGTCGTATTTGATCAGTTTTATGAGGAGGGACAGTTTGAGAAGAGTCTTAATGACACTTTTATTGCTTTGATTCCCAAGAAAGGTGGGGTGGAGGATATTAGAGAGTTTCGGCCAATCAGTCTTTTGGGTAGTGTCTACAAATTATTTGCTAAAGTTTTGGCTAATAGACTTCGGGGTGTCCTGGAAGGGGTGGTGTCAGAGTCTCAGAATGCGTTTGTAAGGGGTCGTCAAATTTTGGATGCTGTGCTTGTGGCTAATGAATGTGTGGACTCGCGTGTTCGGCAAGGGAAGGCGGGGATTATGTGCAAGCTGGATATTGAGAAAGCTTAAGATAATGTGAATTGGAATTTTCTGTTGTATGTGCTTCAACGGATGGGTTTTGGGGAGCGATGGGGGCAGTGGATTCAGTTTTGCATTTCTACGGTGCGGTTATCAGTCTTGGTTAATGGCATTCCGGCGGGCTTTTTTCCTACATGACGAGGATTACGGCAAGGGGATCCTCTATCTCCTTTATTGTTTATTTTGGTGATGGAGGCGCTGAGTCGTTTATTGTCCAAGGTGGTTCAAGGGGGTTTGTTGACGGGTTTCGAGGTGGGGCAGGGGCTTGCTCCTCTGGTGGTTTCTCATCTCTTTTATGCTGATGATGTGCTTATCTTTTGTGATGCGGATGCAGATCAGATTGGGCATTTACGATGTGTGTTGCTGTGTTTTGAGACGGTGTCTAGGCTTCGAGTTAATTTGGCCAAGTCAGAATTAATTCTTGTGGGCGAGGTCGTTCGTTTTCCGGTGTTGGCAGCTATTTTGGGGTGTAAGGTGGCTCAGTTACCAATTTCCTATCTGGGGCTTCCTTTGGGGGCTACCTTTAAGGCGAAAGGGGTGTGGGATGGGGTGGTAGATAGACTGCAGCGAAGGTTGGCAGGGTGGAAGCGACATTTGGCCAAGTCAGAATTAATTCTTGTGGGCGAGGTCGTTCGTTTTCCGGTGTTGGCAGCTATTTTGGGGTGTAAGGTGGCTCAGTTACCAATTTCCTATCTGGGGCTTCCTTTGGGGGCTACCTTTAAGGCGAAAGGGGTGTGGGATGGGGTGGTAGATAGAGTGCAGCGAAGGTTGGCGGGGTGGAAGCGACAGTATTTGTCTAAGGGAGGGCGGCTCACATTGATCAAGAGTGTCATTTCTAGTATTCCGACGTACTTTATGTCGTTGCATGTGATTCCTGTGGCGGTTGCTAGGCGGTAGGAAAAGTTGCAACGAGATTTTTTATGAGGTGGTGGAGGGAAGGGTTTTCATTATCATTTGGTGGCTTGGGATAGGATTTGTATTTCGAAGGAGAGGGGGGGCTTAGGCGTTAGGAGGTTGGTGGGTTTTAACCGAGCTCTTTTAGGGAAATGGTTGTGGCGTTTTGCTATGGAGACGGAGCGGTTATGGAGGAGGGTGGTGGCGGCGAAGTACGGGGTGGCCAGAGGGGGATGGTGCTCAAAGGGGGTGGTCCATCCTCATGATCGTGGGTTGTCGAAAGGAATTTGGCTAGGGTGGACGAAGTTTTGGGATAGGACTCGGATTAAGGTCGGGGTAGGGGAAAGGACTCACTTTTGGCAGGATCGGTGGTGTAGTGAGGTGCCTTTGGCGAGTATGTTTCCTATGGTTTATGCTATTGCTGTGGATGGAGAGGAGTTGGTGGAGTCTGTTAGAATTAGGCAGGGGTAGGTGTTTGTTTGGAATGTTCATTTTCGCTGTAATGTGCAAGATTGGAAATTGGATCAACTGGTGGACTTGCTGGGCGTTTTGTATGGTGTCAAGGATGGGGGGGATGGAGCGGACTCTTTGGTGTGGGATTGTTCGAGATCTAAGGGGTGTTTTCAGTGTCTTATTTTTATGGTATGCTTGAGGGGGGGAGTGGGGTAGTGTTTCCTTGGAAGAGCATTTGGGTGACGGGTTTACCTTCCAAGGTGGCTTTCTTTGTTTGGACTGCTGCTTTGGGAAGATTTTGACTATTGATAACTTGCGTTAGCAGGGGCAGGTTTTGGTTAATTGGTATTGTATGTGCTGTAAGGATGGGGAAATAGTGGATCACTTGCTTTTACATTGTCCAGTTGCGTCTCGACTTTGGAATTCTATTGTGGCTTCGTTTGGGATGGTTTGGGTGCAACCGGGGTCATTATTGGATGTGGTTCAAAGCTGGGGTGGGGTTAGGGTGGGGAAGCGACGTCGGAAGGCTTGGGTTCTTGCTTCTCATTATTTGATGTGGTTGGTGTGGTTGGAGCGAAATAGGCGTGTTTTTCAGAATGATTGCCGTTCCGTTTCCTGGCTTGAGAGTCGGTTGTTGCTGGTTTTGCATAGTTGGGTTACGGATTTAGCCGATCCAAGTGTTTTGGTTTTTATAGATTTTGTGGAGGATTTACTTAGATAGTTTGGTTGGCCCTTTGTGGGTGGTTTTTGTATTCCTTGCATCATCTTGATGCTTTTCTAATAAAATCTATTTATTCATCAAAAAAAAAAAGAAAAAAGAAAAAGCCAAGACGTGAAAATTTTGGTTTTTTTGGTTGATTTTTTAGGGTTTGTAGTATTCTGGCTTGTGGTGTGTTATGAATTCTTTGTATTTGTATGCTGTTTTTCTCTACTTGTAATGCATAGTAGATTAAATATAAGCTATGTTGTTTTAATTCTTACATCGGGAAAGAAAACAATTTCGAATTCCTGATAGTTTCTGCTTTCCTTTGAAAATTGATGTATGATGACATTATTTCCATTTGAATGTAGGAAGAATTAAATGACATCATAAGGTATGGCTCCAAGGAACTTTTTGCTGATGAGAATGATGAAGCTGGGAAATCCCGGCAAATTCATTATGATGATGCTGCAATCGATAGGTAAAATTATGTTTTCTATGCTGATGTTTATTGTCCATGATATCCAAATGAATTCTCCACAAATTTAATGGTTGATTTTTGTTAGGTTACTTAATCGTGATCAACTTGGAGATGAAGATGCAACTATGGATGACGAAGAAGAAGATGGATTTTTGAAAGCTTTTAAGGTTTGTCATTCTCCTGAGTATTTCGTTATATATGGGTACGAATGTGCATTTCTGGTAGCCTGCATCATATAGTTTTCTTGACACTTGTGAGCTGCATATTTGATCTTGTTTTCCTGTAATCAACTAGTTTCTTCTCTACTCAGTTGTTTTTTAAATTACTTCATTAGTAGTGTCAAAATGCCTTCTGAATATTGTTCCCTTCCTTCTGAATGTGTCATTGGAGATTGCCCAGTCAAAGTTTTTCTTACTGCTGAAAATACATTCCTACTTCTTACATAGGTTATGCTGTTCTCTTAGAGCTCTTCAGTACCTATCATAGCATCCTTTTGCAGGTCCTACCATTTAATCCCATCTCATGTGTTAAGAATTAAATAATAAGTCAAGACTTTCCTAATTCAAATTCAGACCCTTTTTAAGTGAACTTTTCATTTTTAAGTTGTTGCTTAGTTATTGAAAATTATCTGACTTAATCACTTTAATGGGGTTGGTAAAGAACCCATTAATGTTTGCTTCTAGTGGATGTAGCATTTTTCTTATTTTTCCTTTTTATTGTTGTCATATTGTTATGCCCTCATAAGGTCTTCTTTTGAACTTCGGCTTTAGACACTTCAAAATTGTAACAAACTTTTGAGTTTAATAATCCCTTTTTAATACTTTTTAGATGATTGTGAGAGATGCTTTTGTTTTTCCTCGTGTTCCCATTCCCTTTGTGGTCAATGAAGCAATAAATTTTAGTCTATGAGCAAAAGAATTTGGGAAACTTGCTCACAAAAGAATGAAGAATGTTTGATGAATGCTGTGAGACCTTAACTGAACATGAGAACTTCATTGAACAAGTGCTGCTCTCTTAGGTTCATTCGTCGTCATTGCTAATCTATATTATCAAACTGTGGGGCTTAATATAGTTATAAGTTATATTGGGATACCGGAAGAGTGGGCAAGCCAAACCCTTCCTTCCATGTTGACCCTGCTAACCTCCAGACCCAGCATCCAATAACTTCACACTTCTGGGAAGTTATGTAGGCAAGAATTTGGGTATTCAAGTTGAATTAACAAAACATGCAGGTCAGAACAATTTATTCCTTCTCATGTTATATTGTTTCTTCTTGGACGGGGGTTGTATTGGTTTTCCGCTGTATCTTACTTACTCTCTTTCTTTTCAATATTAGTTATATCCAAGTGTCAGGACTAGTCTCTTTACTCAGAAGCACCTGGTGTAAATTTTCTGTGGCCACTTCAGTCAGCCTCTCAAAACAAACTTTATTCGCATATTCCACCTTTAAGGCTTGACCTTGATCTATATAACAAAGTTTCTAGACATTTAATACCTTTTCAGAATATTCCTGGTGCTAGGACAGATTTCCAGTCCATTGGTGTTCGATCAATTTTTCAGTCCCTTGTGACATGGAACAAGTTCATGTATTTTATTCTTAAGTACTTATTTGCTTAGCTAATAGCCATACTTTTTTTTTTGGTTGCTAACCTCCAGATCGACCACTCTACTCCTATGAAAGGAAAGTTGTTTTCAGATTGTCTAAACTCTGCTATTTTCTCTCACTTTCCAATAACTTCATACTTCTGGGAAGTTATATGAGCAACAATGTGGGTATTCAAGTTGAATTAATAAAACATACAAGCCAGTAAAGATGTAACATATTCTGACTCATTGTTATATAATTTCTTCTTGGTTAGATGTTGTAGTGGTTTCTATTGTTTACATTTAATAGTTTTGGACCTCATTTTTATTTGGGATAATTTCGAAAAAGTGGAAAGTAAAAAATAATAATTTTTAAATGATGGTATAAGATTTATTTGCATTATCTAATGCATAAATCACTTGTACCTCCATCATTTTGAAATTATTTTTCTAGTCTCCACTTTTTTGATATTCTCCCTTTTTATTTTCACCATTCCAACTGGGTATCTGGCCTGTCTTATTATGATATCTTTGTCGTATCTTATTTTATGCTTTTTGGTTTTAAGGAAACTAAAGTTGCACATATGCTTTAGGTAGCAAATTTTGAGTACATTGATGAAGTGGAAGCAGCAGCAGAAGAGGAAGCACGAAAGGCATCAACTGAAAATAAAACTACCACCAACAACCCAGATAGAGCTAGCTACTGGGAAGAGTTGTTGAAAGACAGATATGAAGTACACAAGGTTGAAGAGTTTAACGCCATGGGCAAGGGGAAGAGAAGCCGTAAACAGGTATTTTACATCATTTTAAAAGGTACATTGCTTTTGTAATCAATTTAATTTGCTGGCACAGAGGGTTTGTCTTCTAAGCCCTTTTGTGCATAATTCTTTATCATCATTGGAGAATTAATCCACATTGCATTCCTTTCAAATTTATCAATCCTCACCCATTCTTTTTTGTTTCATTATTTCTGAAGCACATAACCTATGATTCATCTTGTGAATTGTTATTTCAAATTGAATTTCTTTGATACCAGAGTCTGTTAAACTTCATTCACTTTGGAAGTTGCATCAACTTCTGACATGCTATGGAATAAAACAGTAGTTGTTGTGGAATTCTGCTCTATACTATGTTAATAATCCCATGTGAAAATTTAAATTGTTGTTCTTCGATGTGAACATCTCTGAGTCCTGTCCAGGACAGATGTTTCACCTGACTGCTCATGAAATAAGATGGATTTCTAATGTTATGTTTCTCATGTGCTCTTGGGGCTCATTTAGATGGTGTCTGTAGAAGACGAGGACCTTGCTGGATTGGAAGACGTAAGTTCTGAAGGAGAAGACGATAACTATGAAGCTGAGTTAACTGATGAAGAAACAACTGCATCTGGAATTCTAACTGGGAGGAGGCCTTACAGAAAGAAAATCCGTGGTATTGTTTTGTGTAGCTAGTATCATCCTAATACGATAATTTGAAGAAGTTGGTGATCATGTTTGATCATAGGCCCTTTTTCCAATCATTTGCAGTGGATAGTGCTGAATCACTTCCCTTGATGGAAGGTGAAGGGAGATCATTTAGAGTAAAGGGATTCAATCAAAATCAAAGGGCTGCATTTGTTCAGATTATGATGAGGTTTAGTTTTGGATGTATATTTAAATGCAGAATCAACTTATTTTATTCGTATTCTAATAAATGATATATTTGTGCTCGTATGTTGGTCTTTAATGATATAGATTGTTTGACAGATTTGGAGTTGGGGAGTTTGACTGGGCAGAGTTCACACCACGCTTGAAGCAAAAGACTTGCGAAGAAATTAAAGAGTACGCAATATAATATCTTCTTAATATTTGGAATCTTCTTGATTAGTGACTTGTAGTGATGCTAAAATGTGACTGCAGCATTTTTGTTAATCGAAAACTTTCATATTTTTATTTTTATTTATTTATTTATTTGCAATTTTGTAACAGTAGGGTGCATTGATTTATGGTTAATCTTTGTTGTCCAGATATGGGACTCTTTTCTTGACACACATCGCTGAGGATATTACTGACTCACCAACCTTTTCAGGTGATTATTTATTCTAGTTAGTTTTTCTGCTGCTGCTCTTTCTACATCTTTTATGACCTTAATCTCTCTCTCTCTCTCTCTCTCTCTCTCTCTTCCTTTTTGTCTGCTATTAATTTGTTGTTCTCACTCATTATTTTGCTGCAGATGGTGTTCCTAAAGAAGGACTAAGGATAGAAGATGTACTTGTTAGGATTGCAGTGTTACTTCTGATAAGGGACAAAGTAAGTTTTGTATGCTTGATGAAAGAGTTTCACTTGGTTGGTTAGTACTTTTGTAGCTTTGGATTTTTAAAAGAGTGGTCAACTTGGGAATCATCTTAAAGCTATGATTTGTGAGGACTGTTGTTGTCCTATCCCTCCTTATCTCAAATAGTGTTTATATGGTGAAAGCCTGGTTTTTCCATTTTTAACTTCCTGACATATAGGTCTAGGATGCATGACATGAGTCTTAAGCATTGGTGTTTTTCATTTAAAAAATTCAATATAAAAAAGAATTACAATAAGCTGAACTCTTAGTTGAAGCAATCCATGTATGCACATTGGCATGGATTGAAAAATCCATAGAACTGTAATTTTGAAATGCTAACTCATTGCACAGAAGTTTAAAAAATTATAATCCTTTCCATTGGTAGTATCATGGTATGCCCCCTCAACATCTATCAAGCAGTCCTTAAATGTAAATGTTGCTTCAATGAAGATCTAGAAATATCATATATTGAATCTTAGAACTGTCGTGGTAATTTCATTTAAAATTTTAACTATAAACCTTTTTGTACAATGATAGGTGAAGGCTGCATCGGAAAAGCTAGGCACTCCCCTTTTTCCAGATGACATAGTATCTCGTTTCCCAGGATTGAAGAGTGGAAGGTTTTGGAAAGAGCATCATGATCTATTACTACTCCGTGCTGTATTAAAGTATGTTTATTTTTTATGTTTATTTCTCTTTTCTGTTCTAAAAAGAGGTAAATTGAACGAAATGGAGATAGAAAGGAAGATGCATCCTTTATAAAGAAGGGAAAGATATGAGAGAAGTATTAAAGTACATAGCTGTAAGTTATAGTTTGATGGGAATTTTATGTGTTGGTGACAATTATTTTTTGATTTGTTTAATTTGATTGCCAACCACGGTTTTAGATTCTGTGTTATGGTAATTTGGTGCAAAACATTTTCTAGATACACTGTGTGAGTTACTTGAGAAAAAATAAATAAATTCATTTTCAAAGTATATATTGAATAGAAGTGATCATGTAGGCAGTACAGTACTAGTTATATTTGTCAATAAGTTTAAAGTTTATGTTTCAGTTAATGTCCTAAAAGCATGCCATAGCTGTTGACTTCCACGTCTTTGATATGATGGACTCTTGCTGGTAACACTCTATGGAAATTGATTGTATTGCTTATCATTTATATGTTTATTTTTACTAATGTTATTGTTAACCATGAGCTTCTGATTTTATGTATCTTTCTCAGACAAGCATATTTTGGTTGCTTTTTGATATTGGAAATAAAATGGCCATTGGATGGGCTCAAGCCTTGTGAACTTGAATAATTCCAAAAGTGGATTTTGACTAAATACAAAGACGTGACAAGAAATACATTTTTTATATGTGAATTTATGCATCTATGGAAGTGCTTGTGTGTTTATGAGTAAATGTCTGTGTCGTGTGCACTATTTTTCCAGAACTATGGGGCAAGTCGCATTTCCATAGCATGTCACACCCCCAATGTTTTATGTGAGTGCCAAACACCAAACATTTTGGCACAAATTTCCAAAATAAAAAATCTATAAGAAGCTTCATAAGCTGCACCAAACAAGCCCAAACTTTGATAGGATTAGTCGTAAGATAAGTGCTCATAGTTTATATATGATAGATATTAACAGTCATAAGTTCATAACTAATATGGTTGGATGTGAAGGCATGGCTATGGAAGGTGGCAAGCTATTGTTGATGACAAGGACCTGAAGGTTCAAGAGGTCATTTGTCAGGAGCTGAATCTTCCGGTTGTAACTCTCCCTGTACCAGGAGCATCTCAATCACAAGATGGTGCAAATGTGGTTAGTGCCGAAACTCCTATGAATGAGACAAAGGGAACTGTTGTTGGGAACGATTTAGCAGTTGATGCTGCAAACAGAGCACCTGACGCTGCAAACCGATCACAGTTATTTCAAGATTCTTCGTCATTATATCATTATAGAGAGATGCAGAGAAGACAGGTTGAATTTATCAAGAAAAAGGTTCTTTTTCTGGAGAAATTACTAAACACAGAATACCAAAAAGAAGTCTTTGTAAGTTCATTCACAAGTTTTACTTCCTGCATATTCTTCTCGTTGGTGTGTTAATGTTGAAAAAAATATTTTGGCACTGTTTGGTTGGAATTTCTAAAATACTTTTTGACCAGCTAAAGAAAAATAAAGCAATTTATCTTCTGTTTAGGTTTATTTTCTTTTTGATTATTCTATTAACCAAAAATCAAAAGCATACCATCTTAATTCTTGTTTGGCGGTTTGTTTATTTCATCTTCCTATGTGACTTAATCGCTACGAACTCTGAATATGGTTCTATATGAAAGAGTTGCCAGCGAAATAGACTACATAAATTGCGCGAAATAGACTACATAAATTGCATTCTTAGTTTTATGCAATGAAGCAATACTTAACTCATATGGTTTGTCTTTATTATTTGATGTTATTGTAGGGTGACGCAAAAGCAAATGAGACTCCTATTGAAGAGCCGGAGACTGAAGCCAAGGTTCTCGATATACCAAGCCCATGCTCCATGGATATTGATTCTCAAACTAATAATCAGTTACCACAAGTGATCAGTAAGTGCACCCACTGTTTCTTTAAATCAAGAATAATGTTTGGCAACTCTCAGTTATTAACTAGTATATTGGATTCCTTCGTGCTTTGTTGTTATTTCATTGCATACTGATGGACCACTGATCTTTAACATGTTAAAAGAGCCAGGGCTTGTTTAGGTAGTTAATATGATCTGACCTGTTCTTGTGCAGCTTCAGAAGAAATTTCAGCTGTTGCCTGTGATGATAAACCTGTTCGCTTGGAAATTGCTCGGCTTTATAATGAGGTAAAATTTATAAGTTGCGCTATTTAATCATAGATCATGCTAATGGCAACCCTATGGACTGTCAATAAGGTAGAGAAAATGCCAAAATATGTAGAATTTCAATGCTCTTTTCACATATTCCCAGATACCTTCATATACTTTCTTACACATTGTAGTGCAGTTTTTACACATATATTGAGACAAATGAATATGCAAGAACTAACAATTGTTTCTTACTCTCTCTCCATATAAATGTAGATGTGCAAGGTAGTAGGAGAAAATGCAAATGAATCAGTGGAGGCATATTTGGCAGACAAACCAGCAGGTTTCAAGAACGTCCTTCCGCTAGAATCCATATATCAAGACATAAACAAAATCCTCTTTCTGGTCCAGCAGAATTCTTCTTCTAGTTCAGAACATCAGATACTAAATGCAGATTCACAGTTGGTGACACCAACCACACTGCAAGGAGATTATGACAAGTCCGGTCCCGAGGCAACAACTGAGAATAAGGTGCCAACAATGGAGTCCGGGCCTCAAACAGAACCAGACCTAGAAAAAGAGAAGAGCAATTCAGGTTTTGATGTGCAAGGTACTACTACTCAACCTGTATGTACCACCAGTGAAGCTGGAGGAGATGCGGAAATGGAAGAAAAGCAGCAAGATGCTGATGCAGACACTCCGAACCATGAAAGCACTGGGAAATGACCTTGGCCTCGGTTATTTTGCATGATTACACTAAATGAACTAATATTACTGGCTGTATTGCCCGAACTTTTTTTTTTAACCCCCCTCATTTTATTTTATTTTTATTTTTATGGTGGTAGAGAAGTAATATTTTCAATCTAGATAGAAATAGCAGTTTGACAGTTATAGAATTTCATCTTACGTTGTTTTTACACACGAATTCACTTTATTTTTTTTGATGTTCTAATGAATTAACTTTGATCATCTATTTAAACATTGTTAAAGTATTGTATCTTCCTAGTTATTTTTATTGTAGTGTTGTGTTTTTTTTGCATTGTCTCAACAATTTGAAATATAATAGTCTATTTGTTGTTGAGTAACATTTGGACGAAAAAAAAGTAAACAAAAATATATAATTGTGTCACAAATTATTGTAAAATATAATATTTTCACTTAAGGAGTTGTCGTAACATCACCATCAAAAGATTATGTAATATTTATCACAAAAATTTATAATATTTATCAAAAAAATTACATGACTCAACAAAGTGTGTACAATATGTGGAGTAAAATTTTTCAATTTCGATTTAACTTTTCTCTTTTGGGCTTATATTTCGGATAAATTACCCATCAAAATGACTTAATATTTCAAAATTTTCAACGTTACATCATTCGAGTAAAATTTTTTGTATGAAATTTATGTTTGCAAATCAAATAAATTGTGGTTTAGAGTATTCTCATGGGATTGCTAATCAACACAATAAACAATAAATAAACAACGCAGCAAAAGAAGCTAAAAAAACAACATTTGCAAAAGCAACATATATACTAGATGGAGTATCATAAGAGATTTGTCTTTTCTATTTACTCCTATGGATTAGATAAAAATAATTTAGATTGAATTAAAGATAAAATAGGATTTTGGATCCCAAATAGTGATTCAATTTACAATGATAAAAGAGAATTCTTGATTCAATTATCCAATTCCAAATAGTAATTCAATTACAATGATGAAAGAGAATTCTTGATTCAATTATCCAAACTTGAAGAAAAATCTACTTTAGAGTTCTAGATTGAAGACAAAAAACTGAACATAAAATTTAAATTAAAATTTTATTCAAGTTCACTTATTAAAGTCAATAAATTATTACTTTTTGTTGATAATATTTTTTTTATATCAAATATATATATTTTTTATGTTTAAATTCTCAGTATCAGTAAGAAAGATAGAGGGGCTCATTCAAATATGAAATCCAGTCCTGCAAATCTGCTGATTACATATCAAGAACAAATTAACTACAAATTACTTGATAGCATAAACTCTCATCAAACACTATTTTGCTTGGTGTTAGTAGCTAACATCTATATTTATATATATCTTCATATGCAAGTCCCAAGTGAGTGTGTTTCACATCCAAAGTCTCCATCTCTTATATTTTCCTGCATCACATATATCAGATTGTAATATTGAATGCTCAAAGAGGAAATTACAAAATAAATAAACAAAATTAAAAGTAAAAACATCCTGGGTCTGATGAAGAAAATTGAAAATGAATAATAACGACAATGAGATCAGAATTTTAGGAACCTCAACCGCTCATTAGGAAAACCAGAGGAGATAATTTAACTGTGATGATTATTCAACAAGAAACATGACATGGCTTTATGCAAGCAGCAAAACTTGTAAAAGTCAAAAATAAAGAACATAATAATAATAATGTTCACGCGTGACTAAAAAAAATCAATGTCTGATCTGGTATTAAAATAGTAGATAACATTCCACATTTAGCAGTTCCATTTTACGTAACTGATGTTTCTTAATAACATTGATATACAGATGGATCAAGCGCATATAAATGTGTATATGTTGATAGGTATGAATCTAACAGACATATGAAATAGAAGCCTGTGCCTGTTGGTAAATTAAAGAAACTTCTTGAGAAAAGATAGGGATCATGAAAAAACTTTCATGAAACTGATCATGAAAAATTTATGATCCTTGGATTACCTTGATTAGTGTGTGATGTTTTAGTTTAAGTGTAATCCAAGGGTCATAAATTTTTCATGATCATTTTCATGAAAGTTTTTTCATGATACGTAGCATTGCTCAAACTTCCTCCGTGTCCTAAGTTGCTAAGAACAGTGTACTATCAATATATGTGCAAATGGTTCAAAAATCAAGAATCGTAATCTAATATCACCAAGAATTGAAATGGTGTGGAGACAATGTGGACAAAGACATCTAACTAACAGAACCAAAACAGACAATACAAGATTTAAATCATACCTGTTTCATCATTGCACTCACTAGATCTTCCAAGGAGTCATCGTTATTATAAGAGTATCCTTGCTTTATGTTTACTGTTGCCTCCATGGCTGATTGTTCAACCCCATTACGCTGCATTGACAAGTGATGATCAACAAGGTTTGGTTGTCCAATCATTCTGAAATCGTTATTTCTATTGCCCACCGCGTTCATGGGATCCGACCTCTGGCTGGATGAATTCATAACACCATGAGGGATCAGAGAGTTCATCGGGCTATGCATAAGATTAGGGTTGTGAGATGCATCCAGCTTATTGTGATCCCACCCTGATTTCATGCCATAATTCATTCTTTGCTCACCATTACTTCCAAGTCCCGGGGTTGCTAGGCATTTTAAATCTGTTCTCAACTCCGGAAATTGTGCATTTGTTGAATTAACGGAAGAAATATCATGAGAATTACTCCAACCATCCATGGCTATTGAAGACATATTGATTCTAAAGTCGCTAGATGTAAAAGAATTTGATTGGATCTCAGAAGACTGAATAGCAGGCCAAGTGTCAGTACATCTAGCAAAATCTGGCAAATGTGAAGGAAATTCTTCCACACTGACACGAGATTGATTTCCACATACTCCCCTCCTTTCAATTTCTTGAGGTTGAGGGTGCCCTTGTAAAGTCACAGGGTTGTAAGGGACACCATGAAGAGAGTTTCTTGAGGAACTACCATTTATGTTTGTATCTAAGAAGTCACCGGAAATGGGGAAAACCATTGAGTCATTAGTACCAGTGGATAGATCACCAAAGTGCTCGACACCGTTGTTATGTTGTAGTTGATCAAATTCCAGTGATGTTGGCATTCCTTGAAATGTATTGCCATTTTGATTTCCAGATAGTATAACTGGCTGGAACTTACTCTGAATCATTCCTGTCAAAGATAGGCCACATGAACCTAGAACAGCTGGAGTGTTCAATCTATCCAACATTCCACTAGACGAGAACGACCCAACAGTAGGATTCTGAAACTTTGCAGAACCAACCATGCTGTGATAATTTCCAAATCCGTTCAGAGAACTCATTTGCAAATAGGCAGAATCTGCGCCGCCTAAAGCTGCAACTATATTAGCTTGTTGACTTGCTACACAGCTAATCCTTTTTAGATAAAGCCGGTATTTCTGCACAAATTGAGCAAAATATTGAGTATTAAAGAGACGCAAGAGTTTTAGATCATCATACAAAACAACCATGCGAAAGATAAGGATCCGTGCCTGTAGATGGCTTGCCACATTTTCTCTAGTCAACTTCTCCACATTCATCATGTCTAGAATCCTTTTAGGTACGGCCTCTGCATTAGAAATGAGAGAGAAGTAAAAGATATGGTCAACATGTTTCTTTGATTGCCACTGTTGATTCGTTGAATATGAACACAACAAAAGTACTTTTTATTTAAACACGACCGGTACACAACAATTGTGCACACTAGTGCACATGAGTAGCTCATAATCACACATTAATTGACACACCTCCCATTTGGACACAATACACACGCTAAGGGAACGCTCAAGCCTTTTAGGACACATCACTCACACCAAACTTTGGAGCTTCTCGAGCACAAACTACTAAAGCTCACTTGATTGGTGCACGACTACTTGATGCCCAATACAAAAGCTCTTCCCATATTTATAGACTTGTTAACCGACCTAGGAAGTCAGTTATGAATACCCGAGAAGCCTCCATTGTACGCGGCAATTGAAGCCTCTAGAGAGAAAAAAAATCAGAAGAAGAATTCTACAGAAAATGAAGTTGTGAGAAAAAGCAGAGAGAAAAAGAGAAGACAAGACAAGAGTAGAGGAAGATATAGGAGCCCAGAAAATTCTAACTCACTCGACCACCACCAGGAATATTTCAAATTGCCTCATAAAAGCCATTTTTTGTTTGGTTACTTCTAATAAAAAAATGAATAGGTACAAATATTTAATTTCCCTTTTATTTCTGTCTCTCAATAAATCCAAGATCCAAACATACAGTAAACAAATGGAAAACTTTGCAGCTTACAAGGGTAAAAATAAACTTACCGTCAATGCCCAATTGATTAACAGCTGCAACAAATTTGCGGTGCAAGTCCACTGTCCAAACTACCCGAGGTTTTTTCTGCATTGATGGATCCTCGTTATTTTGTCCATCGTCAGCACGATCACCCTCGTCTTCATTCTGCTCTTTTCGTTTTCTGTTGAGCTTACTATTCTGATCAGAATCCCCTGTCACTGTGATCGCTTGTCCTCCTTCACTTTCATGATGAGGTTTGTCAAAATTGTTCTGATCCTTGGGATCATTTTTCTTTCTCCTAACTACATGTTGCCAGATGTTCTTTAGCTCCTCAATTCGGATAGGTTTCAACAAATAATCACAAGCTCCATGGGTGATGCCCTTCATGACAAGCTTGGTATCGCCATTTGCAGATAACACTAGAACCACATTAACAAGTCCATAAATTTAGAAAACCAAAAACCTAAATAAATAATCACTACCAATTGAAGATATATCCTACCTTTTAAAAGAGACAAAGTTTACAGACCAGTCAATAAATGAAATGCCTACATATTTTCCTCTGAGCTATTTGAGAGTTATCCAACTTGAGTTACGAGTACAAATGATTTTTTTTTTTTTTTTCCTAGGAAAGAAGAAAAAAGGACCTCATAATCTAATGGATTTGATCAGTTTATAGACCATTTGCCATTGTAATTCTATACAAAAATAGAACTTTAAATCATCTTTCTCTCAAGCCATACAAGGGAAAGAACTTCCTATACGTTCCTAGGGGGTATTATTCATTCATCTACATGTATCCCAATGAGCCGTCTATTGAATTGTTGCAATTGATGTTTGATCCCAAAGAGAAGGAAAAGATCTACAGAAAGTGGGTTTTTATGATCCGATAAAGAATCAAACTTTTTTTTTTTAATGTTCCTGTTTTAGAAGTAAATACTGCAGTTCAGAAGTTCAACTTCCAAATCAACCACCGAGTTAAAAACCAGAACACTAAAGCCATTGAAAATTTTCAAAACCACTTGAAATAAATTAATTAATTAATAAAAAATGTAAGAAAGACTTTAGTATACAATAATCTCAAATGAAAGCAATGATCAACTAACAGTCAATAACACCTAATTCTATACAAAAATAGAACTTTGAATCATCTTTCTCTCGAGCCATACAAGGAAAAGAACTTCCTATACGTTCCTAGGGGGTATTATTCATTCATCTACATGTATCCCAATGAGCCGTCTATTGAATTGTTGCAATTGATGTTTGATCCCAAAGAGAAGGAAAAGATCTTCAAAAAGTGGGTTTTTATGATCCGATAAAGAATCAAACTTTTTTTTTTTTTAATGCTCCTGTTGTAGAAGTAATACTGCAGTTCAGAAGTTCAACTTCCAAATCAACCAAGTTAAAAACCAGAACACTAAAGCCATTGAAAATTTTCAAAACCACTTGAAATAAATTAATTAGCCGACCCCATTTGATGGGACTTAAGGCTTCGTTTGGTTTGGTTTGGTTTGAAATAAATTAATTAATTAATAAAAAATGTAAGAAAGACTTTAGTATACAATAATCTCATATGAAAGCAATGATCAACTACCAGTCAATAATACCTAAATGGATGTGTTTAATCTATATATACATGTTCATTCAAAAGAAATTCCAAAAAGACAAGGAAGCAATAAAATAGTCTCATGTACAATGCTGCTGACTTACTTATGACAGGTAGGTCCATTTCAAGCCCCACAAGCTCGAGCAGCTTGAAACCGTCCATGTCGGGCATATGGACATCGCTGATAACCAAATCAAACTTGTTTTTGTTTTCTCGCAACACCTTCAGTGCTGTGATCGCCTGACTGGTTGTCGTAACTGCAGATCCATAACCCAATTATAAAAGCCAAATTCAATTCCCAAATATTTTCAAAGAATCAATAACCAAAACTACAGCTTAAATGGAAACTAAACCACAACTGAATCAGAAACCCTATCTAGGAACCAGGATTACAGAGTTCATATCCAATATTTATGTGGGAAATGAATATATATCTCTCAAGTACTAACTCATCTGTTCAATATAGGAAAAATATATATCTTCTCTTTCCAGCCCTAGAAAACACAGAAATTTAGGCCAATACATCATGCATATTTTAAAGTTGAATCATGTTAAGCAGGTAGAGAGAGAGAGAGAGGTGTAAAATTTAGACCCATCAACAAATCATAAATAATGATTGAGACCACTTCTAAAAGCACCATTAATGATGTGACAGCGGACGGGACTCACCGTTTGCGTCTTGTTTTTTTTACATCATGCATATTTTAAAGTTGAATCATGTTAAGCAGGTAGAGAGAGAGAGAGGTGTAAAATTTAGACCCATCAACAAATCAATTACAAAATCTTGCTAAGAAATCAGAAATCTAAAATCCCACCTCCAAAAAAACAGAAACAAACCTTTTGTAACAGCAATCTTATAAATTCACTCCAAAAAAACACATGCCAAAGACAAATTCAACAATCCACCTCCAAAATCTCACATACATATTCATCAAAACAGGGAAAAAGATTGAGTAGAGTTACACATATTCACTTGAAAAACACCAAATCAAGAAGCAAAAGGTCCAAATCTAGAGACCCATTTCGCATAAAAACACTACAAAGAAACCCAAAACAGAGAATAAGAAGAAAGCGAACCATGGTACTGGCATTTACGAAGCAGAGTCTCCAAAACCCTGAGGCAAATGGGGTCATCGTCGACCGCCAGTACTCGCATCCCCATCGGAAACCGATCATTAGGTTCATCAAAACTTTGATCGACAATCATTTTCACAGTAGAAACAATTGCCGAATCGAGAGAGATTAAAACTGAAGCAAAAGCAGAGTTGACAGAGATTCTTTTTGGGTTTTCAAGGTTTCAAGACTGTTTTTTTGTGCTTTTTGAAATTCAGAACTATTTATTTATATGTGGAAAGAATATGTGTCCTATAGGCAGAAGGAGAGAGAGTGATTGGGGAAAGTTGATTGTCTGTTATCATTGAATTAATATATATATATATAGAGAGAGAGACAGAGAGAGAGATGTTAGAGACATGCAAACAGAGCAACAGAACAGAATGGAATATATGACTACATAGACTGAAAAAAACAAGTTGGAAGAGTATACTTTGGAGAGAGAGAGAGCACCAAAAATAATAGAGTGAAACTGAAAACTCCTCTTTCTCTCTTTTTTTTTCTTTCTTTCTTTTTTATTTTTTATTTTTTTTATGTTTTGTTTTGTTTTGTTTTTATTTTTGTTTCTTTCTCTCTCTATAAATGAGAGAAAATATGGAATAATTTTGAAAGCTGGATAAAGTAAATATTGGGCAAATTACACTTTATCCCTCACTTATGGATAAATATTATTTTTGCTTTTAATTTTTTTGATTTGTTTCAATACAACCCCTATTGTTGACATTCTATTAACAGAAGAGAAAAGTAACATGTGGAGTTACTAATTTTATGATTAAAATGCTCAATTAAGAGCTAATTTATTTTACATATATGTAGGAGATATATACATATTTTTCATATCTTATAGAAAATATGTGAGAGGAAAGATATATACGTGTGTAAAATTCATATACGTTATTTCTTTTCTTTTTTTCATAATAGAATGTTAATAGATAGTTGAGATTAAAATAAATTAAAAGTTATGAAAAAAAATATAATACTTGTTAATAAAGGGATAAAGTGCAATGTATTTATTATATGTACCCACTCACTCAAAAATTAAAAATAAAATAAAAAGAAGGAAATGCTTTTTTTTGAAGTAGGAAGGAAGAGGCCAGTGTTGTTCTCAATGGGTGTTTGAGAAGTTGCTATTTTAGTAGGTTAATATTTTTATATTTGAGAAGATGATTGAATTTTTTTGTAATTGGATGTGATATTTGTAAGAAAAAAAATAAAATAATTATAAATTTGATGTAATATTTTGTCTTATTAATTATTTTAACCTATTTTATCTTTTTTTTAAAATTTTAACCTAAATTAAACTAAAATCTCACTTTCCAACCCCAAGCTGGTTTTATGCGTTGTGTTTTTTATTTTTATTTTTATATTTAAAACTTTTGTTTGTTATCTATTTCCCAAATCTCCATGCTGTATATATATTCTGATTTATCCAATGAAAAAGTTCATGTATGTAATTATCATAGCAAACATTCATCTATGAGTAAATATCATTTTATTTTTTTTATCAATGAATTTATATATTTTGATTTTTTCAATTATAAAAATGTAACACTTTTACTCTTGTAAACCTCTTCCATACTATCTCAAAAAGAAATGTATTTGTATGATTTTCATAATTGAGATGGTTAATATGTATAGTTCATAAATGAATAAGTAAGGTAATATTCGTTAATAATTAAGGATCTTAGTATAATTAATTGTAAAATAAAATAAATGTTTTTGCATAATCATTATTAATATACATAAATAAACATGCCCTTTAAGTAGAATACAAAAATAAATAGTGGTGTAAGAAAAATTGGTGGAACCAAGTGGATTGTCCAAGAACAATCAAAATTTCAATTTTTAACCAATCTTTTATCAGTATGGTTTATTTCAATTCTAAAATATTTTATATGAAGCAAATTAAACCAAACAAAATATTATATTTAAATATGTAACTTTTTCTTGATTTGTAAAGCACTCCAAATTCAAAAATCAATCTAATTGATATAATTATCGATATATTTATCAACGTTCTTAATCTTATTACTAGTATGAAGCAATTTGAAATTGAAAGTTGTCGATGGAGATCTCTATTATTGGGATAATAACAACGTCACATTCATTACTTTTTTATATTATTTATTGTTATGTATCATATCTTATGTCATTGATATAATTTATCAACATAATCATTATTATCATTAAGCAATTTGTAATTGAAGGATGTCAATAAAGATCTATATTATTGGGAAAATAATAACGTTACATTTCAGCTTAAAAGTTAAAAAGTCACTAAAAAAATTAAAAAGCCAACAACTTGTACAAAAAAATTAAAGATTTCATTTTCTCTTTATTTTTTTGCACATTCTTTTGTAAAAAAACTAAAAAGTCATTTCAAACACACTAATTTTTTTTACCTCATATTTTAACCAAAAAATCAAAAAGTTACTAAAATAATTTGTTCCCAAACGAGGCCTTAATATCATTACTAGCATTAAGCAATTTGCAATTGAAGGGTGTCAATGGAGATTCTATTGTTGGGATTGTTAAACATAGTAATTATATATTATGCCTATCATACATACCATATTATTCATTACCATACTTAGGTTTCTCTGCTCCTATATAAAGGAGTCTTGTATATATTGTTACATAATTATTCAGCACAATATTTAATATACACATAACATAATATTCTTTCTCTCTCTCTCTGAAATATTGTAACCGGAATAATAATAACGTTACATTCATCACTTTTTTGTATTATCTATTGTTATGTGTCATCTCATATGTCATTCTATCATTGATATAATTTATCAACATTCATAATAGCATTACCAGCATTAAGCAATTTGCAATTAAATGATGTCAATGGAGATCTCTATTATTGAGATAATAATAACGTTACATTCATCACTTTTTTATACTATCTATTTTTATTTATCATCTCATAGGTTGTTCTATCATTGATATAATTTATCAACATTCTTAATATTATTACTAGCATTAAGCAATTTGTAATTGAAGAATGTCAATGGATATTTCTATTATTGGGAGAATAATAATGTTACATTCATCACTTTTTATACTACCGTAAATTACAAATACACTCCCTGAGGTTTGCTTCAAGTACAGATTGTCTCCTGTAATTTGAACAATTATAAATACCCCATTGTTAAATTTTTTTATTTAATAGAATTAACTAAAAAGTAAAATTCATAATTGCTCTCATAAGAGCATTTTCAACGGTTTAGCAAATTTTTCACCAAATTTGAGTGAAAAAAAAGAAGCAATTTCCTCAATCTGATACGAGCAGCTTCAATCGTTGCACTGTAACGTGCATCAAAACACTAGAGACGTCCGGTGGGACGACCGGCCGGTCAACCGGTTAGAGTTCTGAATTTTTTTTTTCTTCCCTCCACATACAACTAACTGGTTTCTCAACACTATGAGTGGGTTAAAGGCCACAAGAACAACTTCAACTCCTAATTCAACAAATTGGGTGTCTTTTTCCCTTTTGCAGGATTTAAATACAACATATAACTATATATCAAACTTGTAATTTAGAACTTTCTTTTATTTTCTTTTCTTTTTCTCAATTTTCTTTGCAACCAAAACCAAATGGGTTTGGCATCTCTGGTCTTGTTCAAGAAAGTGAAAAAGAAAGAGACATGAGTTCTCCATTTGTCAAAGACAGGGAAGGTGGTGGTGGTAGGAAGATTTTGTGTGTATTGAGTGGTGGTGGATTTGATTGGGAAAGAGAGGGAGTGGTGGTAGGGAAGATAGAGGAGTCTTGGAAGTGAATGTGAAGAGGAAGAGGGAGTACTGGTGAGGATTGTGTGGGGGGCAGAGTGAGAAGATAAAGCCATGGTAATGGTGGGTTTGGAGTTGTCTGTTTTTTAGCCTTTTAGTACTGGTTGAAACACTGCACAACAGATATGCAATTTTTTGTAAGCAAGGACGACCGGTGGGATAACCGGCCAGACGCCCGGCCGGTTGTCCGGTAGGGCCACCTCCAACGTAAACGCACGGTGAAATGATAAAATCTCACGCAACTCCTTAATTTGGTGAAACTTTTGCTCCGTTTTCAATTTAATATCAATTTAGTGAAATCATTTGAGAGAGAAAAAATGACTCTTTCCATCAAATTCAAATCTGATGCTCAATCTGATGCAAGGTTGATGCAACATTAAATATTGTCTAAGAGATTTGTCTTTTCTATTTACACCTATTGATTAGATAAAAACAATTTAGATTGAATTAAAGATAAAATAGGATCTTGGATCCCAAATAGTGATTCAATTTACAATGATGAAAGAGAATTCTTGATTCAATTATCCAAACTTGAAGAAAAATCTACTTCAAAGTTCTAGATTGAAGACAAAAAAATTGAACATAAATAAGGTCCTTCTAAATTAAAATTTTATTCAAGTTCAGTCATTAAAGTCAATAAATTATTACTTTTTGTGTTGATAATGGTTTTTTTATTCAAATATATATATTTTTTTCTGTTTAAATTCTCAGTATCAGTAAGAAAGATAGAGGGTTCATTCAAATATGAAATCCAGTCCCGCAAATCTGCTGATTACATATCAAGAACAAATTAACTACAAATTACTTGATAGCATAAACTCTCATCAAACACTATTTTGCTTGGTGTTAGTAGCTAACATCTATATTTATATATATCTTCATATGCAAGTCCCAAGTGAGTGTGTTTCACATCCAAAGTCTCCATCTCTTATATTTTCCTGCATCACATATATCAGATTGTAATATTAAATGCTCAAAGAGGAAATTACAAAATAAATAAATAAAATTAAAAGTAAAAATATCCTGGGTCTGATGAAGGAAATTGAAATGAATAATAATGACAATGAGATCAGAATTTTAGGAACCTCAACCGCTCATTAGGAAAACCAGAGGAGATGATTTAACTGTGATTATTCAACAAGAAACATGGCATGGCTTTATGCAAGCAGCAAAACTTGTAAAAGTTGAAAATAAAGAAAATAATAATAATAATAATGCTCACATGTGACTAAAAAAAAAATCAATGTCTGATCTCGTATTAAAATAGTAGATAGCATTCCACATTTAGCAGTTCCATTTTACGTAACTGATGTTTCTTAATAACATTGATGTACAGATGGATCAAGCAGATATAAATGTGTATATGTTGATAGGTATGAATCTAATAGATATATGAAATAGAAGCCCGTGCCTGTTGGTAAATTAAAGAAACTTCCTCCATGTCCTAAATTGCTAAGAACAGTGTACTTTCAATATATGTGCAAATGGTTCAAAAATCAAGAATCATAATCTAATATCACCAAGAATTGAAATGATTTGGAGACAATGTGAACGAAGACATCAAACTAACAGGACAAAAACAGACAATATAAGATTTAAATCATACCTGTTTCATCATTGCACTCACTAGA